CCGGCTCCAGTCTCAGTACTATAAACCTCCATGGGTCCCCCTGTGCCCTGTTTCTGTCCTTCTTGGCCAGCGCTCTATTCAATCCAGGCTCCCTGGGTTGCTCTGCTAATCCTCCCTCTTTTGTCACCAGTGGCGACACTGGGTTTGAACTCAGGGCCTCACACTTTCTAGGCAGGCGCTCTACCACTTGAGCCACTCTGCCAGCCTCCCTCAGCTTCTTCTCAGCTTCCCAGTACTGCTTGTACCCAGGGGCCAGAACACACCTGACCTGTCCCTCCCACCTTACTCCACATTCCTGGTCGGAGATCTCCTATACACTCAACAAGCCAGATGATTATGGGGCCTCTTTCTACCCTGAGAGGTGTTCAAGTGATGTCTTGACCCTCTTCAGGTATCTTCTGTCTTATTCACTGCTAAGTCCTCACCTCGGTGAGAAAGAGAAACCACAGGTATCAAAAGCCTCATCTTCCTCCAGGAAATACCCCAGTCCCTCACGCTTTCCTCTAACCCTTGACCTGGCAGAGCTTATGTCCTGGGTCTGTGTTCTGAGGGAACTCTGTTCCCCTGAGGCTGGTCCTGTAAAAGCATCACCTGTCTCTCCCGGGGGCATGTTCTCAGCAGCATTCGAACATGCCTATCATTCACTCTCTCACAGATACCCTCCTAAAGGCAACAGTAGTGGTACATGCCTGCAGTCCCAGCTACTTGGGAGGCTGAGGCAGGAGGACTGCTTGAGCCCAGGAATTCAGGGCCAGCCTGTGCTACAAAGCAAGATCTTATCTCCTTACTTCAGTGACATTCTCACTACTCAGCTTCCCTCATGGCAGTCACCGTACCTCCCCCACTCCAGACAGGCTTTGGTCCCCATTCCTAAGGTGATCTATCCAAAACCGATGCGCTTCCTGGAGCCTACAGCGGCCTCTTCCTGCCTGAAACACTTTCCTTTCCTGGAGCTCAGGAATCCTTCCTGTCTGGCTCTCCTTCTACTTCACAGGTGGCTCCTTTTCCTGGTTCTTCCTCTTCCTACTCCTCCACTTTACTCTAAAGGCTAATATGCCCCTGGGTTTGTTTCTCAACCTCTCTGTTCTTTTGCAATCTATTCCACTGGTGCAACTGCAGTCTCAGCTACTTGGGAGGCTGAGGCAGGACTGTTTGAGCCCAGGAGTTCCAGGCCAGCTTGGGCAACACAGCTAAGACTTCATGTTAAAAATAAAATATAGGGTTGGGCAGGGTGGCTCACACTTGTAATTCTAGCTGCTTGATAGGTAAAGATTGGGAGGATTGTGGTTTGAAGCTAGCCCAGACAAAAAGTTAGCAAGGTCCAATCTCAACAACCAAGCCAGGAGTGGTGATTCATGCCTATAATCTCAGCTACTCTGGAGGTGTAGTTATACAGTTCTGTCAGAGGCTGGCCTGGGTAATACCCTAACCTCCTTTGAACTGCTGGCTCGTACAACTAAGCTACTCTCATGATGTCTGCATTTGGGTGTCTAGTGGGCACCTCAGATTCTCTGTGGACAAAATATATATATATGTATATATATATATATATATATATATATATATATATTTTTTTTTTTTTTTTTTTTTTTTTTTTTTTGTGCACTGGGGTTTGAACTCAGGGCCTCACAGTTGATAGGCAGGTGCTCTACCACTTCAGCCACTCCGTCAGCCCTTTTTTGTGATGGTTTTTTTTTTTAAGACAGAGTCTCATGAACTATTTTCCCAGGATGGCTTTGAACTGCAATCTTCCTGATCTCTGCCTCTTGAGTAGCTAAGATTACAGGCATGAGCCACCAGCGCCCAACCAAAACAGAATTCTGGATTTATCCCACCTAGACCTGCTCCTCTCCGAGTTTTCCTCATCCCAGGTTTCCATGGAGAAAAATAAGAGCTATACTTCGTTTCTTCCTTCTTTCTCCTACCCATTAACACCAAGCAACTTTCATTGCTTTGTTCAAAATATATCCCAACTCTAACTGCTTGCCCCCCAACATTCTGCTCCCACAAATCCAGGCTACATACCCAACCCCATCCATAGGTTACATCCCCAACCTCCTTGTTACTTTCCCTGCTTCCAGCCGTGCCCTAGAACCCGATCTCCAGAGAACTTTTCAAGACATGAATTTAGGTGGTCAGGAGCTGTAGCTCAGTGGTCGTGAACTTGTCTAGCCTCAAGAGATTGGGTTCTATTTCCACCACCACCACTACCACCACCACACAGCAGCAACAATAACAAAATGTGAACGTGCCTCCAACAGTGCCCTGTTTAAAATGAATAGTTTGTCATTAAATTTAGAATTAAAGCCACATTGCTCACAGCGGCCTGCAAAGTCCCAGTGTCATCTCTGGGTGGTTCTACCTCTCCTTCCGTTACCCTTGCTTAGCTTCAGTCACTGTCACCTCCTTCCTGCTCCTTAAATATTCCTCTGTGAGTACGTTAAGGAAGGTGTGAGAATGGAGAGATACAGGAAGCAGAATAGGCAAGGCCTCAAGGGGCCTTTGCCAGAGCCCTGCTTTACTTACCATAGCAAAGAGGTTGTCATAGCCTTTGACCTTGGTAGGCACCTTGGAGAACTTCTGGTCAAAAGCATCTGAGATGTTGTGGGCTGGGTCTGTGGAGATGATCAGAACACTCTCACGGCCCTTGGATAGCTGCACCGCCAGGCTACAGCTGCATGAAGGAAAGATGGAAAGGTAGGGAGTAAGGGGTTGGGCTCCCAAGATCTGTAAGGGAAAATGTGGGGTCCCAGGTGCAGAGACCTGGATCAGCAGGGTTCTCGACAGTACAAGTCACTGGGGGATCAAGTCTTAATGCCTGCAAGGGAGCTCTCTCAGATATCGCCAACTAACTCCTCTATCTGGACTAGATTTCAGTTGACTTATTCTGCTTGGTCTCATAGCTACGTCTGCTTTTCTGGGGGACACAGTGGTATGGACCAGTTGTTCCGCCAGTAAAACGCGCCTCTGTGCCTTCTCCCCTCCTCAACCCTAAGTTAGGAGGTCCTCGGGATTTCCTCTAAGTCTAAGATGGTTCGCGAAGTCCACTTGTTCAGAATTTGCCCCAGGGACCCTTTCCCTACCTCCCAGCTGACAGTGACAGTCTGATCATGCGCCCTTTTCTCCACCTTCCACTCCTGCCCGCGCGGGCATAAAACCGCAAGGTGCCCCAGACTATGTGTTCTTCCACCTATTCTAAGCTCACTCGGGTACAACGCGACTGATTGGGACATCTAAGTGCTCCTCCGCACCCCATGCGCAGGATTCCCTGTGGCTAGGCACTTAAGCCCCAACAGACCTGATCCAACTTAGAGGGTGCCAGACCTGCACTCAGGAGGTAGCGTCCGATTGTTACAGTTAATATCTGGGGAGCACAACGCAGAAGACCGGGGCTCAGCCTCCTTGCCCGGCTTACGGTGTAAAAGCCGGTCCCTGGCCTCCCCTTCGCCCAGTGGTACATCCCACCCGCCTTCCCTGCTCCCACACTAGTCTTCTTACCTGCAGGTGGTCTTGCCCACCCCACCCTTGCCCCCGACGAAGATCCACTTAAGGCTGCGCTGCTCGATGATGTTGCTAAGCGTGGGCTCCAGCGGCTCCACATCAGGTGCATCTTCGAACTCATCTGCCTCAACCCCCCACCCGGCCACCCCCGCCGCCATCTTGGAACCGGCTCACGTGATCGAGCGGAGCGCACCATGGAAAGCACCCACAGGGGAAATATGTCTACCACATGCCTGTCGAGGGTAGAAGCCTGAATTAATTTCCCCATGGGTTGACTTTTAGGAGATAATAGAAGCCATATTTTTAGTATTTTATGCTTCTATGGCTCACCTTGTTCACCTCTTGTTTATATTTTTTCCAAGAGCTTCCCTCCCTAATGAACATATTGGTACCGTCCAGATTACTCCCCTTCACTGATTGGACCTTAAGTCTTACAGCACTCTTTTCATTGGCTACATCTTTTCTTACTTCCACCAGTCACGTTTCACGTCCCGGCAGCCACCACCTCTCCTTAGCAACCAGCCAAACACCCTGTCCAAGCTCTTTCACCAAGTTAAGATCCTAGGTCCGCCCTGGCTCGATTCTATAGGTTAATCTCGTGTCGATCATTTCCTCCCTACTCTCCAAGTTGGAGCCCAACATCGCCTTAGGGCCGCCCACTCTCTTATTTAATAGGCTGTAAGCCATCTGGCTCCTCCCGTAAGCCAATCATGGACGAATTATTTACGTGGCTGGGGACAGGTCCCCGGGTTGAGGGTGGGTTACAAGGAACAGGACTCCCGTTGTGGACAGAGCCCACAGACCTTTGTCCAGTATTCACCGAACCCCGCATGCTGGGCAGAGACCATACCTGCAACCATGTTTCCTGTGGTAGAAGGGACGCTAATTCCTATACACTTGCACTTGGCTCCTTGTTCGAGGTGACACCAAGTTCACCTAATTCCTAGGAATACAAACTGGGTCTCAGGCCCTTGGTGGGGACCCCAGTCCAGAACACTTACGAGGTGGACTCAGCCTAGAAATATTCTAGGCTTCATTTTGAGTACTCCAGTCCATAAAATAACTTTTATTCTCAGAGACACCAGCTCAGCGGAGTAAGCTGTATCCCTACTCCCAGGTACAGGTGCCTAACCCAGAGAAACTACCATTTTTAGTTCGGGACACCAGGTTAGATACACCCTGTAAACCTAGTTAGGGACCCAAGCTCCAATGTGTCAGATGAGCACACAGCCCCAAACGGGGTCCTTTCACTCACAAAGATTATCCCTGGTGGCAGACGGGGATTATGGCCCTGAAAATGCTCCCTCGGTCCCTCGCGGGAACCCCAATTCGGAGAGCCAGCTACAGCCCGAGTCGTAGGCGATGGTCCCATTTCCGAGGAGCCCGCGTTTGCCTAACGCCAACTCGCGCCTAGCTGGAATTAGGCAATCAACGGGGCGGGGCATCCCCGCCCTTAGGGCCCTACCCCCTTTTAGCCCCGCCCCCTCGGCGGACGCTTCAGGGCCCAGACCGCTCTTCCCAGCGTGCATTGCTCCGGACGAAGCAAGTCGGGCGCCAAGCGCGGGGCCCGAGCGGCCTTCCCGGAGTCCTTTGCGCGGCACCTGGCGACAAAATGGCTGCCCGAGGGAGACGGGCGGAGCCTCCGGGCCGGGAGGCGCCAGGCCCCGCGGGCGGCGGCGGGAGCCGATGGGCTGAGTCTGGGCCAGGAACGTCACCCGAGAGCGGGGACGAGGAGGTGTCGGGCGCTGGTTCGAGCCCGGTGTCGGGAGGCGTGAACTTGTTCGCCAACGACGGTAGCTTCCTGGAGCTGTTCAAGCGGAAGATGGAGGAGGAGCAGCGGCAGCGACAGGAGGAGCCGCCCCCGGGCCCGCCGCGACCCGACCAGCCGGCTTCTGCCGCCGCGGGCCCAGGGGATCCGAAGAGGAAGGGCGGCCCGGGCCCTACACTCAGCTTCGTAAGGAGCCGCGGGGGTGGGGGCGGGCGCCAGGGCCGGCCTTGGCACAGGGGGAATCGGGGCCCAAGAAAGGGTGTCGAGATCCAGGTCCACCCTCCCCCCACCCTGTGAGGGGCTGTGCGAGTCACCCGCTGAGGATGTTGAATCTGGATTCCCAAGGAGAGCAGTCCGGGGCGGGAGCGGGGGATCACCAGATCCTATCCTCTGGAGCCCGGGAATTGCATCGGAAGCAGCACTCTGGGGATGGGGAGCCCTGGATACCAGGATTCCCGTTTGAGTGGTACCCGGACTTTGGATACTGGGACAACCCCCTAAGTGTGGGGAAGAGGGAAAGGGTGGGGGCAAATTCGAGCCCGGAATCTGACCTGTGTGGTTTAGACTCAGACCGCCGACTGTGTGACCTTAGGAAGATTGCTCGACTTCTCTAAATCTCATTCAACCAGTGTCCATTTATTGAGCACCTTACCTCGTGCTGGGCATCGTGTTAGGTGCTGGGTATTCAGTGGTGAACATGACAGACAAGGTCGCAGCGTTTTTGGAGCCTCAAGGTTGACTTGCCCCTTTTCTCTAGTTGCAAAAATGAACATCATCGAATCTTTTTTTCCCAGTGAGGTATGGAAAAGTGAGATAGCGCAGGGCATTCTTATAGGGAGGGCTAGAACAGTGTTCTCAATTGGGTACCATCTTCCCCCGCCCCCATATGGCAAAGTCTGGAGACATGTTTGGTTGTTAAAACTGGGGGAAGAGGTGCTAGTGACTTCTATGGGTAGAGGCTAGGGATGATACCCAACAATATTTAGCAACCTACAATACATAGGAAAACAAAGAATGATGTAGTGCACAATGTCAGGGCTAAGGTGAAAACCTCTAAATAAATGGGACACATACGGATTTTCACCTGTGAGGTTCTCTTTGGTGTTGAGATCAAGGCCCTGTAGTTGTGCTGGAAAAAGTATTGATTTAGAATAAACAGACTGGGGTTGGGGGGTCAAGTCTTAGATTTAGCTGTGTGGTTTTGGACAAGCCTCAGTTTCTTTTTCTGTTAAAAGTTTGTGTGTAAGCTGGGCGCTGGTGGCTCACACCTGTAATCCTGGCTATTCAGGCGGATGAGATCAGGGGATTGCAGTTTGAAGCTAACTCAGGGGAAGTAATTCCAAAACACTATCTCGAAAAACCCATCACAAAAAGGGACTGGTGGAGTGGCTCAAGCCAGCCTAGCAAGCGTGTGGCTCTTGAGTTCAAACCTCAGTGCTGCTATTAAAATTTTTAAAAATGGGTGTTGGTCTGTAATCCTATGTACTTGTAGGCTAAGGAGGATCACAGTTTGAGGCCAGCCCGGTTTTGGAGACCCCCCCCCCCCCGCCAAAATAACTGGAGCAAAATGGACAAAAGGTGTGGCTTAAGTGGTAGAGAGCACTTGCTTTGCAAGTGTGAACTCCTGAGTTCAAACCCCAGTTCCACCAAAACAAAACAAAACTGGGTGGGCTGGGAATGTAGCTCAGTGACTGACCTCTTGCTTAGTGTGCAGGAGGCCCTGGGTTTCACCTCCAGCACTGCAAAAAAAAAAAAAGTTGGGGTGGGTATGGGAATAGTACCAGCAGTGTCTGCCTGAAAGGTCTCCGGAGATGGGATGATGTCACTGAAGCTATGGCAGCCTCTGGAGAACAGGAAGCCCCCAGTGAAGGGGGGAAGATGAGGTAGATATAACAGTGAAAGTCCAGAGTGAGACTTCTCTTTAAGCAAGGAAAGTGTCCCGATTTGGGTTGATGTGACAACTGAGTGAGGCTGCTGTTTCTGCTTCCCCCACAAATGGGAGCAACAATAGTTGTTGTTACTGCCTTTTTCATTTATTCTGGGACCATTTGCAACCATAACACCAAAAAGGCCAAGCCAGGTTGGGGAAAAGGGAGTCGTTCTCTGCTCATTGGTTTAGGGTGGCATCCAGTGGATTAGATCCACATGACTCTGCACCCAGCTCCATTGTTTGTTGGCAGCTTGACTTGTCCTTTCCAAACATTGCCCTCCTTCCCTCTCCTTCATAAAATGGGGGCAAGCGCTGGAGGTGTAACTCTAGGGGTAGAGAGCCTGCCTACAATGTGCAAGGCCTTGAGTTCAAACCCCAATGCTGCCCCTTCTCCCCCCCCAAAAAATATGGGAGTAGTTATAACTTCGTGATGGAGTAACTGAATGTGGAAGACAGTCACACACCCATGCACTGGGCACAGGGCTCAGCATACAGTAAGTGCTCAATAAAGGGAGCTGTTGTGGCCTATGTGGTCCCTTCTAGGAGAGGATGAGGCCAGAGCTGGTCCCCAGTGAGGTGGGCACTTTTCTGGCTCCCTGGGAGGACATCCCGGGGCCAGGACTGCCTGGGCATGGTGGCCCAGGGCAGGCGCTGAGCTGCGTGTGCTCCTCTCTGATTGCTGCGCAGGTCGGCCGGCTGGTGGAGCTGGGCGCTGCGTCGGGACTGGCCACCAGGCCACGCTAGGAAGGTCTAGTGGGCCTCAGCGCCGCCAAGGGCGGGCCCGGCTCCTGTAACCCTTGCAGTCTTCTGTCCCTTCACCCAGGTGGGCAAACGCAGAGGCGGGAACAGACTAGCCCTCAAGACGGGAATAGTAGCCAAGAAGCAGAAGACGGAGGATGAGGTGAGTGGGCCAGGGACCCAGGTGCCTGGCTGCTGACCCTTCACACTCCCTGTATAGTATCCTACCTTGGGTTGGGGTGTGCAGCTGGTGGCGTGGGAAGGCTTTCCCCAATGTCCCCAAACAGCTGGCCCCTGCATGTCTGTACCTCAAACCCAAGGCCTTCAGGGTGACACTGTGGGTCCCTGCTCCAGAACAGTCATGACCCCAGTTTCTGGTCTCATGGGCATCCCCCTCCTTACTCCCTCTCATCCCCATCCCATCCCACAGGTATTGACAAGTAAAGGTGACGCATGGGCCAAGTACATGGCAGAAGTGAAAAAGTACAAAGCCCACCAGTGTGGTGATGATGATAAAACTCGGCCCCTGGTGAAATGACCCTTCCCCAAGTCCATGCCCATGCCCACGGCCTGGGACTCTGCGATGTACATAACTATTTAATGTGGCGACAGTGGCAGCCTCCCTGAGGACTGGTACACAGAAGGAAACCGAGGGGCTTCCCGCAGCCGGATGATTCTCCAGGACTCTTTTTTACCTTGAGCACTTGCCTCCTGAGACTTACTAGAACAGTGGTTTATTGTCCCCTTTCTCCCCACCTCCTTGCTCTGTCTCGCTCTTCTGTCTTCCTCTTCTTGCCTTCCTTTCCCTCCCCTTAGCCATCACTTCTGGGAAGTAAAGAACTTGACTTAGTGTGGGAACTGTGTGCTTGGTTTGTTTTCTTCAGGCTCTGGAAGTTAAGCCCTCCTCGGAGGGGGTACCATACCTGACCAAGCTGGGGTCTGCGGAATGAAACTCAGGGTGTTGGGAGGAAAACAGGCACGTCCCCTCCTGTGTCCTGGACTTACTTCAAGACCCATCTTCATTCCCCCAGGACTACACCCCTCACTGTGGCATCTTGGGTCTGGTCTTTTATCTATTTTATTTTTTAAATATGTATTGATTGGTGGTACTGGGATTTGAACTCGGGGCCTTGTGCTTGCTAAGCAGGTGCTCTGCCACTTGCACCATTCTGCCAGCCCTATTTTGTTTTTGAGACAGGATCTCACTATCCAGCCCAGGCTGACTTCAAGCTCAGGATCCTCTTGCCTATGCCACTCAAGTGCTGGGTTTATAGGCATGAGCTACCACTCCAGGTCAGTTCAGTTTCTTCACAGTCCCATTTTGGCTGTGCCTTGGGTGTAATTCAGTGGTAGAGGGCGTGACGTGCAAGGCTGTGGGTTTCATCCCCCACCACAGCACATCCAGGTACACACACCTTCCATTTTGGCTGGGCCTAAGCTGTTATTTTGGTTTACTCAGCAGGTACTTACTAAGCAACTAGAATGTGCCAGGGTAGTTTTAGGCCCCTGGGCCACAGCAATGGGCACAACAGACCACCCTCTCTGCCCTTGCAGAAGGAGAAAAATGGAGCCGGACACCAGTGGCTCATGCAGGAGGATTGCAGTTCCAAGCCACAAGACCCTATCTTGAAAAACCCATCTCAAAAAAGGGCTGGTGGAGTGGCTCAAGGTGTAGGCCCTGAGTTCAAACCCCAGTATTGCCAAAAAGAAGGAGACAGATAAGAAGGAAAAGGGTAAGCCCTTTTGGATAGTCACTGCTTACAGTGATAAGGTAGAGGCTGGTGTGTGTGTGTGTGACATTTGAACAGAGTTCTAGAGAGGTGAGGGTGTCCCAGGTGGAGGGATTAGCCACTGTAGACAGGTTCAGAGAGGGCCTGGCCCTGATGGGGACCTGAGGAAGGACCAACAGCTGTGGTCCCAGGGCAGGGCTAAGGTGGTGTTCCTCTGGCCTCTGAGACTCTGTCAGAAACAGTCTCTGGGCAGGGGTTCACCCATGTAACAGACACAGAGCCGGGCACGGCCACGCATACGATCCCAGTAATAGGGAGGCGGAGACCACCCTGGGCTACACAGCAAAGCCCTGTCTCAAAAACCAAAAGGGCTGGAGGCATGGCTCAAGTGCTAGAGTACCTGCCCTGAGTTCAACGCCAGGACCGCCAAGAAAAGAAAAATCAAACCTGCTTACACAGGGACACAGCTGCTACCAAAGCACACAATTCCTGCTCTTGTGAATCTGACATTCTAGTGCTGGTGTTCGGTAGTGGTGGTGGGGGAAAAACAGCACACATCAGATGTTTATACATTCTACCCATGAAGGTCCCAGATAGTGGGAAAGGGGGCAATTTGAAGTAGGTTGATTAGGATGACCTCCCTGAGAAAGGGACATTTGTTCCAAATCAGCAGTGAAGGTGGTCCTTGGAAAAGCTTTCCAGGCAGAAGGAAGGACAGGTGTAGATACCCTAACTGAAACTGGGCACACCTTCCCCTATCACTTCCTGCTTAACACAATAAGCTTGTCTGGTTTATTTTCCAGGAGGGCTCAAAGGTCTCTCTTTGGGGAGAAGGTGAATTGGCTCAGGTGTGACTTTGGCCTGAGGGGCAGCAATAGTGTGTGTGTGTGTGTGGGGGGGGGGATCAGGGAAGCTAAGGCCACCTTTGGTGCCTTCTCTTCCAAAGCTAGCAGCAGCAACTGGATCTTTAAAAAGAAACACAAGTGGGAGAATTAGGTCGCCCTGTAGCAGCATGGCCTCTATTCTGCAGAGGCACAGCTCTGGGTACACCCCCCTTTTGTGACCTAGGAAAAGTGAAGGGAGAGGAGAATCAAATTCAGGTTTTGGTGAGTCACACATTTCTGGCTTCAACCTATTTTAGTGCCCATTGGCTGTGTGATCTTTGGTAAATTACTTGACCCTTCTGTGGTTCAGGTCCTTAATCTATTTTCATTTCTAAAATCAAATGCTAAAGAAAGCCAGCCTGGAGTATAGCTCAATGGTAGAGCATTGTGCTGGGTTACAGTGATCTGGGTTTGATCCTCAACACTGCAAAAATAAGAATGACCATTTTCATATAGTTGATTGTAACATTGACTCTTTATTTTGGTGAGTCTGGGGTTTGAACTCAGGGCTTGATGCTTGCTAAGCAGGTTTTTTACCCCTTGAGCCACACTTTCAGTCTAGTTTTGTTCTGATTATTTTGGAGATGGGGTCTCACGAACTATTTGCCCAGGCTTGGCCTCTTAACTGTGATCCTTCCAATCTATCTTGATACAGTTTGAAACTCTTAGTTTCACTGAGTGGAGAAGTCTTGTTTTAGGGGTTGTGCTTGGGATGGAACCCAGGACCTCCTGCATGCTAGCCAGGTGATCTACCACTGAGCTACACCCCAGCTTCCCAAAATGTTGAACTTTTAGCTGGAGTGCAGGGCAATATGCTCAGGCTGTTGTAAACAGACACATTTGACTCCCATCTATGATTCACCCCTACACATCAGCTCCCTGTATCTCTTTGCAGAGTGGTTCTAGTTGAATTGGATTAAGTTTGCCATGCATACACACAACTACTGTAAGAATCTCAGGGGATAACATTTGGCATCTGCTTGACAGACAATAGATGCTTAAAAAATAGGAAGGTTTGGTGTTCAATGTCTGCAGCTTCAACTATTCAGGCTGCAGGATGATCGCTTGAGACAAGTTTGGAGCCAGCAAGGGCAATACTGTCTCCAAAGTAAAAACAAAACAGGAGAGGGAGAGGAAGGAAAAAAGAAGGAAGGAACAGATGGGGAAAATTCATCCTGCATACTGATTCACATTGTCTAGCTGGGCAGGACAGAAAGGCTTTGAGCACAAGAGGGTCAACAATTTGGGCCATACATGTAGCATTGGCCACTTGTTCTGCTTGTACGTCCTAACTCTTCAAAGCTTGCAGAGGATGTATGGAAACTTGCATATTAAAAGGAGGGGTGAACTGGCAGAGTGGCTCAAGTGATAGAGCAACACAGCCTAGCAAGTGTGAGGCCCTGAGTTCAAACTCTGGTGCCACCAAAAAAACACAAAAAGGAAAAGGAGGGGTGAGACCTGCGTGGTAGTGCACATCTGTAATCCCAGCACTGGAGGCAGGAGGTTCAAGGCCGACCTGGGCTACATACAAAAAAAAAAAAAAAAAAGAGGGGCAAGCATTAGTAATTTGTCTCTTGCATCTCAACCTTGCCTCTGCCTCTCATAAATAATCTTTATCTGGGGCCCAAGATTAATCAGAAAGCTTCTGGGAGCGGGGCCTAGTGGCTCATGCCTGTAATCCTAGATACTCAGGAGGCAGAGATCAGGAGGATCGTGGTTCAAAGCCAGCCCCAGTAAATAGTTCGTGAGAACCTATCTTGAAAATACTCATCACAAAAAAGGGCTGGCGGAGTGGCTCAAGGTGAAGGCCCTGAGTTCAAACCCCAGTACCGAAGGGGAAAAAAGAAAGCTTCTCGGGTTCTGAACCCTTCTGGAACACTCCGGCCCAGTCTCAACCCTCCAAACTCACTACTGCTTCACATCCACCTCAGAGGGATTCCAGATCCTGCCCAGAACCCCTGGCATTTGATTCTCAACTAGCGCCCCGAAGCGCGGGGCTCCCAGCGCGTGGCAGGACGGGATTTGTAGTTCCAGGCCTCGAAGGGGGCGTGGCTTGCGCATGGTGTAGGCAGTGGCTTTCCGCACGTTTCTCATGATCAGTTTCTGTCCGTCCAAATAGTCGCGGTGGAAATTCTTGCTGCTCCCTTAAGGAATCTTCTGAGTCTCCGAGGGGAGTTTGGCGCCAGCTGACCCTTCCGTAGCCAGGGAGGCCCTAATACTTGGTTTTCATAAATGGAGTCAGGACTGACTTTGCAAACAGGAAGCGGGCTGAGAAACTTGTGCCACTTTTTCAAGTTCCGCACATTGCCTTGTGCCTCCCTCGATGGTCAAAAAATCCCTCAGGACAGGGCTGGGTTGTCCTTTGAAATTAGAACACTAGTTGATTTGGTAAATATTGGTTTAGGGAATGGTGGAATACAGTTAAAGGACAGATCTTTCAAAAAACAATTTACCACGTCAGGTACTGCTTAACTTGGATTATGTCTAATGGAGCAAATTATTCTTTATACGCATCTGACAAGTGGGGGAACAGATCCTGAGGGGCAGGAGGGCTCCTACCTTATTGTCCGTAGTTCCAAGAGGGGGAGGAAATCGGGAAGCTTCAGCGTCTCCAGCTCTTCCCTGCAACGATTTGCTGTGAAGAGAAGGAAAAACAGTTCCCTCCTGTCTTCAGATGAAGCAAGGATATCTTTTTTCCTCATAAATTTGGGCCTTTTCCTAAATCTCCTGTGTGAGGGATTTCAGGTAGTGGAATTAGGCCTTCTGATGGAGTTTATTCATTTTATTAAAAATTTTATGTCCTTGTGCCTTTTACAACATTACTGTTGTAAAACAGTAATGAAAAATAACGCAAAAATGGGGCAATGACTTCTGTAGGAAGCCTTTGTCCAGCTTGCTTTCTTTTGCGTCTGGCGTATAAAGTCCACCCCAGGCTCAGTCTCTCTGTTCTTTTTTTGTGTGCAGGTTGGGTACTTCAGGTACCCTCTGGATGGGAAAGAGGAGGAACAATTCAATTCTTAGGGGGACGGTGATTTGGTTCTGGTCGTGGGATTCCGGAAGCCATCACATACCTAAGTCTCCATGCGCTATCAAATTCCTGGCTCCAGTAAAATAACTGAGGTCAGGCCGATGTGAGATGCTGAGAAAACGAGACGCTGGGAGGACCAACCGGCCAGAAAGGCCAAGAGAGGCGGCAACTCTTTCGTCACGTGGTCCAGTTTTCCCTAAGCCAGGCGCTCCCTGCCAGGTCACGTGTGACGATTGCGCCTTCCGATTGGCTAAGATGAACCAGTTTGAAAGAGGTACGGAAGCCGCGGCGGCTCATCTACTGCCGCGTTTTTTTTACTCCCTCTCTTTGGCTCCCTCCTTCCGCGCGAGTCTCAGGAGGAGCCGCAGCGCTAGGCGCAGCCTCTGCTGCCCGGGGCCCGGTAAGTGGGCCTCACTCAGAGCCGGACCTATTCGGGTCCGGCTTGCGTCGACCCCGCAGAGCTTTGGTCCTGCGCCGTGCGCTGCCCGAGCCGCACCCGACCGGGAGAGGCCGGGAACCCCGTTGGGCCGGATCGGCGAGGCAGGGAGAACGGGCCAGGCGGGGGAGGGGGAAACCGAGCCGAGCCTAGGGGGTGGGGCCTCGGAGCAGGGCCAGCTCGGGCTGCCGCCAGAAGCGGGCCAGTGGGGCGGCTGGGGTCGGGCTGGAGGGGATCTGATTGGGGGAAGCGTTTGGGGACTGCTTAGGGCCTGATTGGGGGACGTCGCGCGGATCGGGTGTGTGTGCGGGTCTTTTCGGCAGGGCTTGGTTGGGTCTGATTGGGGGAAGCCGTATTGAAAGTTGGGGGGGGTTCTTGGGCCCTGGGAGGGAGGGGCGTCAGACTTCGGCCTAGAGGGCTTTGCCCGGTCTGACTGCGATGTGTCGCTAGGGAATGCTCTGGGAAGTCTAATTAGGGAAAGCTACAGGGATCGGACGAAAGGGGCTTCCGAATCGAGGTGGTGGGGGGCTTGGAACTTGACTGGGGGAGGCAGCAGAGATCCGTCAGCAGGAGTTACTGCTGACTGGAGTGGGAGGGGGAGAAACTTGGTCAGACCTGATTGGGGCAAGTGACTGGGTCTGGTCCAGGGGGCTTGTGTTGCGGGTTGGGGGAGCTTAGGTGGCTCTTGTTCGAAGAGGCAACGGAGACACCTATCTGGGGACTGCTTTGGGCCTGATTAAGGAGAACTGCTGGACCGAGTCTGGCGAGGCCAGAAAGGGGGGAATCTGGCATCCGCTAAGCTTGAAGGGCTGGTTTAGAGGAGGAGGTAGGGATCAGAACGATCTGAGCGCCAGGGGACGGTGCACCTGGGAAAGCTTAGGGAGCAGACACAGGCAGGAGGCGGCTGGGGTCTGGCGGAACTTGAGGGCCGGATTTCGGGAGAAGGGGGAGCTTGAGATCTTCGGGACTGTGCCTGCACCAGGGAGACCACGGGGGCCGGGGCACTATCGCGGTCTGGGGCGGGGCCCCTGGACGTGGAGGCGGCTGGACCCTCGCCCAGCGGCTGCGAGGGAGGTAGAAGCCTTAGGGCCCGCAGCCGGGGGCGGCGGCGGCATGGGCCGCCGTGGGAAGAGGGCTCCACGTTGGGCCCGGTGAGGATCGGCCGGACCCCGCCGCCGCCTCCGGTGGCCCGCTTCCATATCCCCCCGCCCGCGCTCCCGAGCACGCGACTGCGCGGCCGAGGATGGCGCAGCTGGCGGGGACCTCGCACTTGGGCGGGCGTGGATCGGCGGCCTCCGCCGGTCCGCCGAGGGCGCTCCGGTCGTCATATGGCTGCCGCTTCCTCGGGGGCTCAACCCGGGTCTCACACAGAGTCCCAGAGACCCAACGCTGATCCCGGCTCCTACCCCCGCAGCTCGCCTTGCGCCATGGACTGGCAGCCAGACGAGCAGGGCCTGCAGCAGGTCCTGCAGCTGCTCAAAGACTCGCAGTCGCCCAACACAGCCACGCAGCGCATCGTACAGGATGTATCCTTCCTTCCTTCCGGGGCTGGGGAAACCGGGTAGATGTTTGATGCCCCTGAAGTCCGGAGGGGGAGGGACCCACTTCCTGACCCCAGACTTTCTGAGGCCTGGACAGAGAACTAAGGATTCGAATTCCTGGGTCCCAGAGCTGCAGCCATTGTTAGGGAAAATGATGGAAATACTAATGTTCATTCAGCACTTAGGCCGTCAACTATTAAAGTAGGTGCTTTTACTCACCCCATTTTACAGGTGGGGGGATTGAGGCATGGATTCGCAAAATGATTGGGCCAAGGTTGCAGGTAGTAAAGCAGTCCTGGCAGGATGGGAAGTACAGCCCTCATTTTTTTTTTTTTTTTTGGGGGGGGACAGTACTGGGGTTTGAAATCAGGACCTCATGCTTGCTAGGCAGGGGTTCTACCACTCCCACCAACCCTGTTTTCTATTGGGTGTTTTTGAGATAGGGTCTTTTGAACCTTGATCATCCTGATCTCTGCTTCCCAAGTAGCCAGGATTACAGAGGGCCACTAGCACCTGGCAAGTCCTCTCAGATTGGAATCCATTCTGTCTTGTCAGAATTGGGGGGAGGGGCGGAAATACAGAATGGTGGGGAAGGGAAGGAGAGAGGAACCATCTTGAGTTGGCACTTGGGTTTTCTTTAGGCGTTGGGGTTAAAACACTTTTTTCAATTGAGTGTTCAAAATATGTTAAAATATTTAAAACAATAACAAGCTTCAATTGAAAATCAGGATTCCTCCTTTTTTTTTTTTCTCCTTGCGGTGTGAGGGATGGAACCTTGAGCATGCTGGGCATGCAGTATGTCACTGAGCTGCACCCCCAGCCCTTTGTTTTTTGAAGCAGGCCACATTGGACCACCAGTGGCACAGAGCTGAGTAGCAGCTGCCACCGTAAGAGAAGTAGTTTGATCTGGCGGGAGCTTCCAGAGCAGGTCAGAAGCTCACATGTTCTACTCTGGTTGGTCCATGGCATTTGAATTTAACCGTCTGCCAGGCTCTGGTGACTTAGGCAGAGGGGTTGATCAGTGGGATTTCTGGAGCTAGTAGCCGCCCAATCCCATTGGTCACAGGTGTCCTCAGCCATGTGGCAATGAAGGACCTTGCCTCGGGAAGGAAGGCCCTTTGCCTCCCAAGTCCCTTAACAGCCTGGTAGAAACTTAAACAGCTCAACCAGTTTCCTGACTTCAACAACTACCTGATCTTCGTCCTGACCAGACTCAAATCAGAAGGTATGTCCTGTGAGTTCTCTGTGTGACCCAGCCCTACTTCCGCTCCCCACCACGGCCTGAACCTCAGCCCTCTCTGCAGATGAGCCAACGCGCTCTCTCAGTGGCCTCATCCTCAAGAACAATGTGAAGGCACATTACCAGAGCTTCCCGCCACCTGTGGCCGACTTCATCAAGCAGGAGTGTCTCAACAACATTGGCGACGCCTCCTCGCTCATCCGGGCCACCATCGGTGAGAGGGGCAATGGGGTCGGCACCTGAGAACATGCTGAGCTTTGCTCTGGGCCAAGCATACACTCAGCAGTATGTTTAGGCTGTTGTACCTTCTGTGGTCGTTCTGTTCTGTTACTTTTGCCATTTCACAGTCGAGGAAACTGAGGCCCAGAGATGACAGGGTACTTAGCTGGCAGAGCTTGGAAACAAGCCAGGCAGTGCAGGCTCTGCTCTAGAGCTGCTCCCTCTGGAAACAGTTATTCTTGCTTTGGGGACAGTGTTACAAGGGCCAGTAAATTTTGTGACAGGTCCCAGGCTAAGTGCCAAAGGGTCTAGCAGTTAAAATACTGGTGAAGATACTCATTAGCTAATTCTCACCAGTTACGATGCAGGTGCAACATGAATTAGCTGGTTCCAGGAAGGTTGCCTGAGGATCTTAGAGCAGAGCAGCTAAGAAATAACTAGAGCCACACTGGTGGCTCATGCCTTTAATCTTAGCTGGTTGGGAGGCTGAGATTGTGAGATCAGAAGAGCAGCCTGCGCAAATAGTTCTTCAGACTCTGCCTTTAAAATAACTAGAACAAACTGGACTGGAGGTGGCTCAAGTGGTAGAGAACCTGCTTTGCAAGTGCAAAGCTCTGAATTCAAACCCGGTCTCAACAAAAAAGAAAAAAAAGGTTCTTTTAAAGGCGAATTATGAGCCAGCTTGGGTGATTCATGCTTGTAATCCCAGCACTTGGGAGGCTGAGGCAGGAAGATTGAGAGTTCCAGACCAGCCTAGACTCCATAGAGACCCTGTCTCAAAAGAAAACAACAACAAAAATCAACCAAATAAACTAACCCCCTAACCCCATCCCCACATACAAAAAGTCCAAAACAGGAAATTGTGAGTTTGGGGTGGGACACAGCCTAACATACAGGAGGTATCCTGGGTTCCATCCCCAGCACTCCAAAAAGAAAATAAATAAATAAAAGAAAATTATGTAGAACTATTTTAATGGAGAAGACATTTACTTAAACTCAAGGGAAGAAAACTTTAAAATAAGTGGCAGCGAAGCCAGGCGTGGTGGCACACATCTGTAATCTCAGCAGTCAGCAGGCTGAGTCAGGAGGTTCAAAAGTTCAAAGCTAGCCAAGTTACATAGCCAGACCTGTCTCAAAAAAAACCTCAAAATAGGCTAGGCGGTGATGGCTCACGCCTATAATCTTAGTTGAGATTGGGAGGTTTGAGGTTTGAATCCAGCCTGGGCAAATAGTTTAAAGGACCCCCCCACCCCCCAGCCATCTCCAAAATAACCAGAGCAAAATGCACTGGAGGTGTGGTTCAAATGGTGGAGCAGCTGCTTTGCAAATGCAAAGCCTGAGTTCAAACTTAAGTCCCATCAAGAAATAAGTAAATAAGAAGAACAGAAATACTATTTACAGCTAGATGTTTGGGCTGATGTTTTAGCTTGTTGCCTTATGACCGTGACTCTGACCTATAAAACACCCCTCTGAGGTCAGCAGAAGAATCTGGAGCTCATTCTAGGTGTCTGTCAGGGTGCACTCTTGAGTTCAACCAACTGGGATCGAAAATACTCAGACAAAACAAAATATGTCTGTTCTGAACATGCAGACTTTTTTCTTGTTGTTATTTCCTACATGATACCGTATGCCAATAATGGATGTAGTATTGATGTTATATTGGGACTTTTAATTGATCTTGATTTAAAGTTTAATGGAGGATGTGCCTCAGTTCTACAGAAATACTAGGCGCTTTTCTAGAAGGGACTCGATTTTGGTATCCCTGGAATCAGTCCCTCATGGGATGATTGTACTTAGGCTGTCACTGAAGCCTCTGATAAAGCATAGGTCTCCTCATGTAGCCCAGACTGGCCTTGAATTCAGATCTTCTTGTCTCAGCCTCCCAAGTGCTGGGGTTACAAGCGTGTACCTCCACCCTTTTACTGCCATACCTGGCAGAGCTGCTGTTCTTTACCTCCCTCGAGGGCTAACTGCGTTGAAGCAGAGTTTAGGTGATATGGTGAAGGTCACACAGACAGTGGGCTGGGCCTAGGCCTTGGGCTCATATTAACCTCCACTCTTCTACCCATTCACCCTTAGGATCCTTTGGGATTTGAACTCAGGGCTTCCCACTTGCCAGGCAAGGTCTCCCACTTGAACTTCTCCCCCAACCCTCTCTTGTCAGTTCTTGTGAGTTGGGATCATCTGAGTTGTCAGGGACAGTTCCTGCCCATGGGAAACACTGCCATCTTGTGGCATGGAGTAGTATCTGCATTGACAGCACTCATAATTAGTTCCTGGCCAGGCCTGGTCACTTCATTGCTCTCAAGGCCTCAGGTGCTGTCCGCATATTGCCCTTGGATTTTTTACTAGTCAGTAATGTCCTCTTTGCAGCCACAAGACCAAACACAGCTTCTCTCTACAGCTGCCATGCTCCCCCCTCAGACTCTATAGGGATCTCTCCCCTCTGAGCACACTAGGCCTGTCCTACCCCAGGGCCTTTGCATTTGCACTGGCCCATTCCTGGCTACCCAGTCTGCTTCACTTCCCTCAGGTCCTTGTGCTTTTATGTCAAAAGGTCATCTTGATAAGGTCTTCTGTGACCACCCAGTTTAAAATTATGTGTCTGACCCCCCCCCCACCCCGAGTCCTTCTTGGCATGTGGCCACCCAGTTGTTTTGTTTGTCCATCTTTACCTAACACCTCCCTCCAGCTCCAAGGGCAGGTGTGTGTTTGGGTCTGGGCTGTATCCTGGAGCCTGGAACAGCTGGTTTGTAGTGAGGCACAGAGGGTGTATGTTGTGCCCACTCAAGGTTGGGTGTGGCTCAGTGGTAGAGCACTTGCCTAGCATGCTGAAGGCCCTGGGTTCTATTCCCAGCACTGCATTTAAAAATAAAGCAAGCAGGAAGCTGTTGGGGGCTTCCGTGGGAAAGTGTAGGGAGAGCCAGGGAGCCAGTGGCCACTGTGGGGTGGAGGGGCCGGGCAAGCCCTTCCCAGCCTGAGGCAGCCTCCTCTCCCTGGCTGCCCAGGCATTCTCATCACCACCATCGCTTCCAAGGGTGAGCTGCAGATGTGGCCTGAGCTGCTGCCCCAGCTGTGCAACCTGCTCAACTCTGAGGATTACAACACTTGTGAGGTAGGTGACATTCGGGGCCCACCTAAGCAGGGGCCTGGTCTTGGAGTGGGCCTACATTCATCTCTCTGCCCTGGCGTCCGCAGGGAGCCTTTGGAGCCCTGCAGAAGATCTGTGAGGACTCCTCTGAGCTTCTGGACAGTGACGCCCTCAACAGGCCGCTAAACGTCATGATCCCCAAGTTCCTGCAGTTCTTCAAGCACTGCAGCCCCAAGATCCGGTAAGCGCAGCTCCCCCAGGGCGCCCGAGGGCCTGGAGCTGCGGGGTGGCAGGCTAGGCGAGGCCAGCCCAGCCCAGCCCCTGACTCCACTGCCCACCAGGTCCCACGCCATCGCCTGTGTGAACCAGTTTATCATGGACCGGGCCCAGGCGCTGATGGACAACATTGACACCTTCATTGAGGTGGGCCATGGCTGGCGGTGGGCTGGGAGAGAGTCCCGGGGTGCTGAGGGAGCTCACTGTGCCCTTCCCCACAGCACCTGTTCGCCCTGGCTGTGGACGATGACCCCGAAGTGCGCAAGAACGTGTGCCGTGCCCTGGTGATGCTCCTGGAAGTGCGCATTGACAGGCTCATCCCCCACATGCACAGCATCATCCAGGTGTGCACGGCCAAGGCCAAGGGCGACGGGGGGCAGGTGGGGGTCGGGAGCCACCCGCAGCCGGGCAGGCCTCAGCCTCTCCCCCCCTGCCCCAGTACATGCTGCAGAGGACCCAGGACCATGACGAGAATGTGGCCCTCGAGGCCTGTGAGTTCTGGCTGACACTGGCCGAGCAGCCCATCTGCAAGGAAGTCCTGGCCTCTCACTTGGTCCAGTGAGTGCACTCCTGCCCCGTGCATCCCACTCCGGCCTTTTCCGCTCCCTGTGTCTGTGCCATCTTTCTTTCTGGTCACCTCCTTTGCTAGCCTTCTCAGTCTACCATCTTTTATGTCAGTTCACCTTTTTTTTTCTGGCGGACCTAGTATGTCAGTTTACTTTTAATCCTGTTACATTAATTTTGCAAGAGTGTAAGTTTAATGACTTAAAATTAGGTAACCGATCAGCAGAAAGAAAGGAGAAGTCAATCAAGGCTTCAGGGATGGCTGGATCCAGGTGCTCAAAGAACGTGAAAGGCATGCATCTAATATGCTTCCTCCGTGCTGTGATCTTAGGTGTGGCCTTCTTGGATAGTGCTGTGGCCTTCTGCACCTTCTAGTTTAGAAAGCCCAGAGTAGGCCAGGTACCTGGTGGCTCACCTCTGTAATCCTAGCTACTCAGGAGGCAGAGGACAGGAGAATTGTGGTTCAAAGCCAGTCTGGGGCAGTAGTTCTTAAGACTCTATCTCGAAACCAGGGCTGGTGGAGTGGCTCAAGGTGTAGACCCTGAGTTCAAGCCCTAATACCACAAAAGAAAGAAAGAAAAAAAAAAAAAGAAAGCCCAGAGTAAAGAATTATCTCTTAAATAGTATCTTTTGTATCTCTTTTTTCTTTTGGTACTTGGGTTTGAACGCAGGGCTTATACCTTAAGCCACTCCACCATCCCTTTTTTGTGTTGGATATTTTGAGGTAGAGACCAAACAGGGTCTCTGGAACTATTGGCATGGGCTGGCTTGAATCTCGATCCTCTGGATCTCTGCCTCCTGAGTAGCTAGGATTACAGGTGTGAGCCACTGCTGCCCAACTCTTGTTTTTTCTTTGGTGGTACTGGGGTTTGAAGTTAGAGCTTCACACTTGCTAGGCAGGTGCTCTACCACTTAAACCATGCCATCATCCCATCCTCTGGTTATTTTTCAGATAGGGTTTTGCTTTTTGCTTAAGCTGGCCTGGACCGTGATCCTCCTACTTTACGCTTTCTACTGTAGCTGGGATGAGAGTTATACACCACCATGCCCAGTGTTTTCTGATAAGATGAGGTCTCTAGAATGAGGTCTCTAGAACTTTTTGCTCAGACTGACCTGGAACCACGATCTTCCTGATCTCAGCCTCCCTTGTAGCTGGGGTGACAGGCACGAACTACCGTGCCTATATTCTTGGCTATTATCTTTAATCAAAGTCCTAGAGCCAACCCTTCTTAACCAAGTTTTATTGCTTGCCTATTCCATTGTCATTGGTAACAGACGGGGTGGGGCTGGAGGGAAGGAGGGCTTCTGGGAAATGATGAGACATCCTTTGGAAGCAGGGCAAGTAAGCCCTAGGGGAGCTTCCAACTCCAAGGTGCACAGGCGCCAGCTTCCCAGCCTGGGCTCCTCTCAGCTCTGTGTCAGTGTAGAGTCCAGGGTCTGGGTTGCATGTTTGTGCCTTATGTGGTGTTTGATCATGTGCTGTTCCATGGTTGTTAGTGTATGCCCTGAGTCTGGAATTCTCTGGGTAGCCAGGCCTGGGTCAGAAGCTCTCCTGGGGTGCTGGGTGATGTCACCTAATCACAGTGGCTGGAAGTAGGTTGGGCTAATTCCCATAGGGTGATGTAGGATGCAGAGCATACAGACGGACCTGCTCAGCACAATGTGCCCCTTGCTTGGTACTCCTGTCCATATCGCTGCTTCCTTCTTCCCAGGCTATGCCCCTGCACCCTGACGAACAGCTTCTCTCCTGACAGGTTGATCCCCATCCTTGTAAACGGGATGAAGTACTCAGAAATCGACATCATCCTGCTCAAGGTAGGCAGTCTGTTGACTGCTAGGCATGGGTGGCTGAGGTCAGGTGTTTTAGGCTGCGATCTGACCTGGCTCCGCTTCCCAGGGGGATGTGGAGGAGGACGAAGCTGTTCCCGACAGCGAGCAGGACATCAAGCCTCGCTTCCACAAGTCCCGCACAGTGACGTTGCCCCACGAGGCTGAGCGGCCTGACGGTTCTGAGGATGCGGAGGATGATGATGACGATGACGCTCTGTCCGACTGGAATCTGAGTGCGTGGTCAGCCCTGGGGGTGCGGCAGCAGGCCAGGGCTACCTCTGGAGGAAATGAGAAGAAGCTGGTGTGGAGTAGGTTGTGAAGAGCTGGTCATCTTTGATGCTGGCCTCCCTCAGACTGCTTCCCATTGTCCCCCTCTAGGGAAGTGTTCAGCAGCTGCCCTGGATGTCCTCGCCAACGTCTTCCGGGAGGAACTTCTGCCCCACCTACTCCCCCTGCTCAAGGGCCTCCTGTTTCACCCTGAGTGGGTGGTCAAAGAGTCAGGCATTCTGGTGCTGGGCGCCATCGCTGAGGGTGAGTCCCCTGCCTGTCTGGTCTGGGCCTCACCTTTCTCTCCCAGGCTGACCTGAGTTCCCTCCCACACTGGTGGCTAATGTAGCCCCCAGCTTGGTAATGTGTCTTCACCCCTCCAAATAGTGCCAGGGTCTCAGTCCTTTCCTTGCTTGGCCTGTGGGCCCAAAAGGAGCCCCTGAAACCCCAACACACAGGCCCCTTGCTGTTATTCGCACAGGCTGGTCATTTTGCGCTGCTTTAAGCATCATTACAGCCGCCATAACAGCCTTAGGTGGTGCTTGTCCTGCAGCCAGGCCTGGGGATCCATGTAGGTGAACTCCATCCTCACCACCACCTAAAGTGGTACCAGAAGCCCCAGTTTATAGATGAGGAACCTGAGGGTCACAGAGTTAGCAATATATATAGTCTCCCAGAGTGCACCTGTGCCTCTGACCTGATTGTGGCTGCAGGTTGCCCTGTTGGAACTGGATGAGCTTAGTGGCAATGTTCCAAGTTTTCTTTCTTTGTGTGTGTGTGTTACTGGGGTTTGAACCCAGGGCCTCATGTTTGCCAGGCAGGTGCTCTGCCACTGGAGCCACCCTCCTTTCCAGTAGCAGGAAGAATTTTCTGTCTGGGCCATTGCTGCCCCAGGAAAGCCCAACGTATTATAAAAGGAAGATTTTGAATTAAGGAGTGACCAGATAGTATAATGCAACCCCTAGATGGGATTATCTGCTGTTTTCCCTCCTATCCCTACCTTTCTTGGGCTTTGTGAAATGACTCTGGGCTGCTTACTGAACCTCTGAGCCTCAGTTTCCTTATCAGGTGGGGCTGGTCCTTGCTCTCTAGAGATTGGGGTGCTTGGGCCTAGCCAGGCTCCACTTTGCTCCAGGGCCCCAGCCAAATTATCCCCTCCTCTCTTGGTCACCACAGGCTGCATGCAGGGTATGGTGCCCTATCTCCCCGAGCTGATCCCGCACCTCATCCAGTGCCTGTCGGACAAGAAGGCCCTAGTCCGCTCTATCGCCTGCTGGACACTGAGCCGCTATGCCCACTGGGTGGTCAGCCAGCCGCCTGACATGCACCTCAAGCCTCTGATGACAGAGCTGCTCAAACGCATTCTGGATGGCAACAAACGTGTGCAGGAGGCAGCCTGCAGGTGACCCTTGCCCCCTGACCCTGCAGTTCAAACCCCGCCTGCCTCCCTGTGGGAAGTGATGACGCTTTTGACTGCTGACATGGCACTGATTTCTGTTGTATTCGTACTGGCTGATCCCATGTGTGCTCCCTGCAATTGCCTGTGGTTCAGTGTCGCCTCCTGGGGTCCACTGAGCCGCTTGTCCTGTTCTCCACCCTCCCCCCAGTGCCTTCGCCACCCTGGAGGAGGAGGCGTGCACGGAGCTGGTGCCTTACCTCAGCTACATCCTGGATACCCTTGTCTTCGCTTTCGGCAAGTACCAGCACAAGAACTTGCTCATCCTGTATGACGCTATTGGCACCCTGGCTGACTCTGTGGGCCACCACCTCAACCAGCCGGTGAGACTCTAGAGTGGCCCCCTCTACCCCCATCCCTGTGTCCCTGGGCATCTAACTTGGTGATGTGACCCTATGTCACAGGCCAGGGACTTGGTGATGACCTCAACAGGTAGACAGACCCACCCAGCCTCCACACTCATCATGCTCGCAGTCCAGTGAGGGTGAAAGTTATGGGGGAGTGCAAAGGCCTATGGGAACCAGGAGGCACCAATCTAGGCTGCCGATGGGGACAGAGGGAGGGATGTGCTGAGGATGGACAATTGAGAATGACAGGATCTGCAAATATGGCTGTGGTGAGGCTTTGCATAGCTCATGGGAGGGTCCCATGAGCTATGGCAAAGAGCCCAGACCCATGCTTCTCTGAGTCCCCAGCTGCCACTCCTACTCAGGGAGCCCAATTTCTGCTCCTTCTACAGGAGTACATCCAGAAGCTGATGCCCCCACTGATCCAGAAGTGGAATGAACTCAAGGATGAAGACAAGGACCTCTTTCCTCTGCTGGAGGTGAGTGAACTCTGGTACCCTGCTGTAACACTACCCCTCTCCCCAGCCTGCCCAAGTTCACGTGCCCTGCCCTCCTCCCTACCAGTGCCTGTCATCGGTGGCCACCGCCTTGCAGAGCGGCTTCTTGCCCTACTGTGAGCCCGTATACCAGCGCTGTGTCACCCTAGTGCAGAAGACGCTGGCCCAGGCCATGGTGAGCACTCCTGGTCCACTCGCCCTGCTGCTGCTCAGGCCCTGGCCTGCTCGTCTCATCTGCCTCCCCACCCCATCTGTATCCAGATGTACACCCAGCACCCTGAGCAGTATGAGGCCCCCGACAAGGACTTCATGATCGTGGCGCTGGACCTGCTCAGTGGCCTGGCCGAGGGCCTGGGCGGCCATGTGGAACAGCTGGTGGCCCGAAGTAATATCATGACTCTGCTGTTCCAGTGTATGCAGGTGGGTGGTGTCCTATGGTGTCCCATGCAGGCCACACCTGAGGCAAAGCGGGGAAACGTGTCTTCTTCCTGAAAAGTGGTAATTCCCAGCATTTCCTGTGGACCACCCTCAGGGACCTCAAAGGATATCAGGATTAAGTGGCTCTTAACAAAAAAAAAGTCTAGGGCTAGTGGAGTGGCTCGAGTGGTAGAGCACCTGCCTAGGAGGCATGAGGCCCTGAGTTCATATCCCAGTACCGCCAAACGAATGAGTGAATGAGTGAATGAAAAATAACTATGTGGTCAGTCTTATCTCCACCCCCAACCCCCATGTTGGGGATGGAACTCTGGCCTTGGAGCATGTTAGGCAAGCATTCTACCACTGAGTTACACCCCTCCTCCCCACAAGGGTTAAGCAGGAGGCTGGAGCAGTTTGGCCCTAAGCCACAGTGCAGTGCTCAGGGCAGGATGTGTACCAGGACATGGGTTCCTAAGTGGGAGGAGGGTGACCCAACCAAGCTGTCCCTACCTCACTCCCAAGGACTCCATGCCTGAGGTACGGCAGAGCTCCTTTGCCCTCCTGGGAGATCTCACCAAAGCCTGCTTCATCCATGTCAAGCCCTGTATTGGTAAGTTACTCACCTTGACTTTAACCTGTGACCCCAGCCCCTGGCCTCAAGTGATGGAGATGTACCCTGGGAGGACTGTGACCAAACTGGGATGTATTCATACTTCTTATGAGGCCAGCTCAGCACTTCTGGGAGCTCTTCCTGGCTGGTCTCTCCCGGCTCAGCACCCCTCAATTTCTCTCCTCCAGCGGAGTTCATGCCCATCCTGGGCACCAATCTGAACCCCGAGTTCATCTCTGTATGCAACAATGCCACCTGGGCCATTGGTGAGATCTGCATGCAGATGGGTGAGTACTGCTGTAGGCTGGTCTGGCCTTTCTGCATTGGTCTGTTACCACAACCCTGGTTGTGGCTGGTCTCTGGAGGGAACTGGGGTTGTGAGGGCCGCTGCACCCCGACTGACCCACTGGGTGTGGAGTTGGTGGTATGGGCTTCTGATTGCTGGTCCCTTAGGGGCAGAGATGCAGCCCTATGTGCAGATGGTCCTCAACAACCTGGTGGAGATCATTAATCGGCCCAACACACCCAAGACGCTGCTGGAAAACACAGGTGGGCCTCAGGCCTGGGCTGCGGCCCCTTTGCCAACCTCTTGGAGGGTTCGTTAAGGGCTCTGGGAAAGAACCAGGATCTGGAAGCACCTAAATGGAGTTTCTATGAGGAGCCCCAAGAAAAAATGTTGCCTTGGGGGGACCTGGGAAGAGACCCAGGCCGGAGGGGAGGAGACCCTGGCTGGGTCAAGCTCCAGCCCAGGCTGGCCACAGGAGCTGTTCCCTTGGGGCCCGTGGGGCGGGGCTCGGTGCCTCTTGCCAGAGGCCCCGCCACGTACCGTCCCGGGGCCACTCGGGGTTGCAGGTCGCCTGACGAGTCCCTCTGCCATTCCAGCCATCACCATCGGCCGCCTGGGCTACGTGTGCCCACAGGAGGTGGCACCCATGCTGCAGCAGTTCATCCGGCCTTGGTGTGTGCTCTGGTGTGGGCAGGGCGGTGGGGTAGGTGGGACAGGCAGGCCCCACCCCTTCCCTGCAGAGAGTTGCCCTCCCAGCTCTGCCCCCCCATTCCTTCCACCCTTCATCCACACCCAGCGCCAGGATCACCCACTGACCTGCTCCCCACCTTCCCCAGGTGCACGTCCCTCAGGAACATCCGGGACAATGAGGAGAAGGACTCAGCCTTCCGTGGTATCTGCATGATGATCGGTGTCAACCCAGGGGGTGTCGTGCAGGTCGGGCAGCTGGGCTCTGAGGGCAGGGTGGGGGCTGGCTCGGGCGGCCCTCACCTGGGATCCGTCACGTTTCAGGACTTTATTTTCTTCTGCGATGCTGTAGCCTCCTGGGTGAGCCCGAAGGATGACCTTCGGGACATGTTTTATAAGGTGAGGCTCTGGGAGGAGATGGAACATGGGAGGAGTCCCTGGCTGTGGGGGGCAGAGGCCACCCCTCAACCCTGTCTCCCCGCAGATCCTCCATGGCTTCAAAGACCAAGTTGGGGAGGAGAACTGGCAGCAGTTCTCAGAGCAGTTCCCCCCACTGCTCAAGGAGAGGCTGGCGGCCTTCTACGGGGTCTAGGCGAACATGGAGACTGCCAGGTGAGCAGGCCTTGGGCCACCCAGGGCTGCCTCCAGAGGAAGGATGCAGGCCCTGACCCACCCTCTTCCCTGCAGGTTTCTGTCTGCGTCATCATCAGAGGGATTGCTGGGGAGCGCGCTGCGTCCAGAAGTCACTGTGCCCTGGTCTAGGGGGGTTAGGGAGGAGTGAGTGGGACCCAAATCCACACGCCTTCCCCGTCGGTCCATCCGTCCACCTGCCCCACCAGGCCTGTCTGGCTGGTGCTGGGCAGGTGGGTGGGACCTCCACGCTCATCCTACAAACAGGGAGGGGGGTGGGACTTCTTGGTGGGCAAGAGCCCCCCAGGCTCTAATCGGGGGTCATCTCAGGCAGCCCACCCGGGCTAGCCACGTGGGAGGGAGGAATCCACACGGCCGACTGAATTCGGCTTCGGATAAGGAGAGGGGATTGCAGGCGGGGAGGGGGGGTCCTTGTAGAGACGCGTACACACACGTGGCCACACGCATGTGCGGGTGCTGCAGCCAGCCAGTCAGGCTGAGCGAGCGCCCCACCATTTCCCCGACTGCATGGAGACAGTAGAATTAGTGAACCCCTGAGTTAAGCCGTACGGCCTTCCGTGTAACCTGCACCTAGAGTATAAGAAGCTTCCGCTGTTTTGCCGGAATCTGCGATGACTGGGGAGGGCTGGGGGGGTTGAGGGGCCTCAGCCGGCACCCTGGGGCGGGGGGAGGAGGACAGCCACCTTGGGGCTGCCCTGTCAGCACGTGCACGCTTGGACATGCTCCACACACTTTCTGCCAGCTTTGTGGCAGCCTCAGCCAATGTGTCCCCATCCTCATCCCATCCCAGCCAGCAGAGTGGGGACCATCAGAGCATCTGGGGCTGGCCTGAGATCCCGTCTCTCCCCTGTGCTCAGCCATATCTGAAGGTGCTGGGCTGGGGCCTTTAACCCCCAAAGACAGCTGGGGACAGCCAGACCTGCTGGCACTTAACCCCCTGTCTCTCTAGAAGCAGCTTCAAGGACTGTTGGGTTTTCCGTGCTCCTGAGTGGCCCTGGGTTGGGGGCACTGAATTGGTGATGACAGAGTAGAGGCTGATGTTTTCCAGCAAGAAGTAACCCCGGGGCTTGGAAGAGGGGAGAGGTGGAATGCTCTCTGTCACCCACTTTTGTCCTTTTGGGACTTCCTGCTCATCAAAGAGCCCAGTGGGTTCAGACACCCCACCAGACTTGGACAGCAGTTCTAGAAAACAGATTGGTTGGGATACCATCAAGGTGGGAGGGGTTCGCCTAGAGAAGTGGGTGTGCTTTTTTCCGGTTTCCCAGGCAAACCCAGCCTGCAGTTTCCTTAATACTTAACCTTGGTACTTCCTTAACCACCTCCCCTCCCCTTTCTTTTCCCCTTCCCTGCTTTCTACTTTGGGTGCCCCTTGTGTTTGGAGGTTTGACTGGAGTCCTGCATTTCAGGGCCTGCTCCATCCATCACTCCAAGGCCCTGCTCCCCATCCCCATTCTGGCCCTGTCTCCTCTCAGAGAATCAATCCCTGCCGTTCCAAGGGGCACTTAGTGCAACATTCCATAACTCAGCTACTTGTCCCTGTCCCCTCCTCCTTGGAACTTGAGCAGGTCTCTGGAAGCCATTTGTAAAAACAATTTTTTTTAAGATACCACTTAGCTTTCTGAAATTCCAGTTAATTGGAGCATCCTCTGCTGGGTCTTGCGGTGTGCAGGTGGATCGGCCATCTGATGGGCCATCTCTTTCTGCCCAAGGTGGGGGGATTCCAACCACCTTCAGGGAAGGGGAGCCTGATTCTTCTAGTTTTCCCTTTTTTCTTTTTTAAAGAAAGCTATTTAATTTTTTAATTTATTTTTGGTTGGTTTTTGCACAACGAAGTTTCAGCTTCTCAACCTTTCCTGCCCAAGGCTGCGGACACAGACTAGCCTTGATCTGCAGTCATTCTCCTGGTCTCCTTGGTCCCTCCTTCCCGCTTTACTCTCTGACCCCTGCGGGCTCCCGGGTCTGTCCATTTGTTACCGTGCTGTGCTGGGGATTGGCGCCGAGGTGGCGTGAGATTCCACTTGTGTAGAACTTTGTTGAGTAAAGATCAGTTTCTTGTGAAACACTTGGCCTCTGGTTTCCTGTATCCTTGGCTTTGGTGGAGGAGAGGTGTGGGGGCAGGCCTGGGATTCTACAAATGAAGGTACACAGAGGGTGTGGTGGTGTATCCCTGTTACCCCAGCACGGGGGAGGCTGAGGCAGGGGGATTATGGATTCAAGGCCAACCTGGTTCAGGTGGGTTGTACTAGAATTCCAGTCAAAAACAATTGAAGGGTCAAGAAAATGAAGCAAGGATTAACTTGGGACCCTAATTAAGCCTTTTTTCTTTTGGTGGTACTGGTGTTTTGAGTTTGCAAAGCAGGTGCTCTATGGCTTTAGCCACATCCCTGGGGCCCTTTCCTCCTTTTTTCCTACCACCGAGCTGCATCACTTTTTCTTCCTTGTAAAATAGGAAGGTGAATGTGAAAAGGGAGGTTGCATAACATACATGAAATGTGCAAGGTGTTCTTTGGGATCTAGTTGCAATTCACTAAAAGGTCAATATACCCTAAACCGAGTTTCAAGGCCTTGCAGCATTTTTTGGCTTAACTTTGTGTCACAGGGTAGGCTAGAAAACTTTGAAGATGCTTCTGTAAGAATTGCTGTAATCCCAGCTACTCAGGAGGCTGAGGGCAGGAGGATCACAAATTCGAGGCCAACCTGGGCAATAGCCAAGATCCATTTCTTTTTTTCCCCCCCGTTTGTTTTTTAAGAAGACTTGGGGTTGGAGGCATGGCTCAAGCGCCTGTCAAACAAGCATGAAACCCTGAGTTCAGACCCCAGTACCACCAAAGGGGCAGGGGATAAGGCTTAGCACCAGCCTGTGGGAAAGTCAATTATGAACTACAGGTACTGAGGCAAATAAGCAGATCCAGCTCGGCGAGGTACAATCTTAAGAATAAAACTGGCTCTTTGCATCAGCACCACCACAAATGCAAATTTTAAAAAGTAGCAACCAGAAACTTGAACACGCCTCCAAGAAGCAGGGTTTGCTGCATGTAGCTCGCTTCCGGCCGTCTCTGACGCCATCAGACAGCGCCGGAAGTGCCTTTGCGCAGCCTAGGCGACAGGACGCGGGGCCAGCCGCTAAAAGGGCCGGGCGGGCCGCGCCCACGCGGTCGCCATGGAGCTTCCCCCAGGGCTGTATGCTGGGCCTCGCGCGTGGGACGATGACTCGGACCCGGAGCCGGAGTCCGACCCTGATGCGCAGGCCGAGGCCTACGTGGCCCGCGTGCTCAGCCCTCCGCAATCCGGGCTGACTCCTCCGTGTGTCTCGTTGCTCTCTACGCCCGCCGCGTCTACGGGCGCCCTGGAGCGGAGAATCAAGTCCAAGGTCCCTACTGTGGGTGTGCCCGGCCTGCTAAGCCTTCCTCCGGAGCTGTTGCTCGAGATTTGCGCCTACCTGGATGCGCGCCTCGTGCTCCATGTCCTGCCGCGCGTGTGCCAAGCGCTGCGCGACCTTGTATGTGACCATGTCACCTGGAGGATACGCGCGCAGCGCCGCGTACGCGCGCCCTACCCAGTGGTGGAAGGTGCGCATACTCGGGAACGCGCTCCCAGGGCAGGCTTGGGGTGGGAGAAGAGATGCCTGAGGTGTCTTGGGCCCAGCTGTTGGAGCAGGTTTTGTGGCTTCTAGCTCTTGCTTTAGGCTGAGGTCGTTTCTGGTGATGCTAAAGTCCCTGATTTTGGGGGGTGGACTTTAAGCCAGACACTTAGGTTTCTGAGGTCTTTGGAGCTGGGGGTCTCTGAACTCAGGATACAAAGATTCTCAGACTGGGGTACTTGCTAGTACCAAGGCCCTGACCCCTGGTTGGGGGATAACTCTGGGACTTGGAACCTTGGACGTGTGTGGGGCTCAGAGTAAGCCCAAGAATCCTCAGACTTTGGGTGTACCCACGCAGATGGTGACACCAGAGCCCTTGACGCCTTGGGAGCTGGGGTCCTTGGTATCAGCACCACAGATCTTAAGTCCTAGGTCTAACCTGTCAGGTTAGGCAGGCAGGGGCTGATCACTGGTGGGGGGATGGCGGCTTGGAGACCTTGAATTTATATTGTTGATGTGGAGATGACGTTGGTGCTAGTATTAGTGGGTCCTCAGGCCCTTGAGCCAACTGAGTAACATGTGGCTGGTTGGTTCCCCTAAACCTGATTTTGAAGAAGCGTGGGACTCCTGGGTAGGGTTTCTGAAGGAGTTGCGATTGGCATTCTGGTCAGACTTCCTCAAACAGCTTGATAAACAGATGCTCCCTATCCCTGAATCTCTGTACTTACAGCTTGGATTTTGCAGTCTTTTTCCTTCCTTCCTTCCTTCCTTCCTTCCTTCCTTCCTACCTCCCTTCCTCCCTCCCTCCCTCCCTCCTCCCTCCCTCCCTCCCTCCCTCCCTCTCCCCTCCCCTCCCCTCCCCTCCCTTCCCCTCTTTCCTCTTTCCTCTTTTTTCTTTCTTTTTCTGTGGTGCTAGGGATGGAACCCTGGGTTTCATGCATACTAGGCAAGTGCTGTACCACTGAGCTGCATCCCCTAGTCCTTTTGTTTGTATTTTGTTTTTGAGATAGGATCTTACTAACTTTGCCCAGGCTAACCTCAAATTATTAATCCTCCTGCCTCTACCTTCTGGGTAGCTGTGATTACAGGTATGTACTACCATGTCTGTCCAGGAAGGGTTAGTCATAAGGTCCCAGGAATGAGGGGCTGAGGCAAGACTTCAGTGATGTGCCTTGCTTGGGTTGGAGAATGAGCCGTGGAAAGGTGCTGGGGCCCTCAGGCCCCAGTTTCTGGCAAGTGGGGTGAGTGAGGAGTAGTCTGAGACTTGCCTGGGGGTGGGTAGGTGGGTGGCCCCAAGGCCAGAGCCTGGGCCTGCTAGGGGGAGGGCAAAGCATTCAGGTAGAATTCTGTTCAAGTCTGGTGTAGGTTGGGCTCCCTGGCAGCCATAATGGGCTCTGCCAGCTGGCACCCAATGAGGACCCTGCGTATGGTGCCCCACAGAGGAGGACTTTGACTGGCCAGCAGCCTGCATTGAGCTGGAACACCACCTGTCCCGCTGGGCAGAGGATGGGCACCGAGCTGAGTACTTCTGCCTGGCTGATGGCCACTTTGCTTCTGTTGAATCAGTGCTGCTGCTCCAGGTGAGGGGGGTTCAGCAGGGGGCCAGGCTGGGGTGGGCCCAGGTAGTGCCAAGCAACATCTTTGTGCTCCCCTCCCAGGGTGGGACACTCTGTGTGTCAGGCTCCCGAGATCGCAACGTGAACTTGTGGGACCTGCGGCAGCTGGACAAGGAGCCCAGCAAGGTTCTGGTCAAGACCTTGGGAACTGAGAAGAACAGCACCCACAAGGTGAGGGGGGGTCACAGGTGGAGGGGAGTATGAAGCCTGGGTGAGTGCTGTGGCTTAGGGCCTGGGTTTTGATGCCAGACTGAATTATTTCAATTTTGCTCAGCTATTGTTGCTGTGACAGGGTAACATGTGTGACTTCTCTGAGCTTCAGTTGCCCCCCTTTTTTTGGTGGCACTGGGGTTTGAACTCAGGGCCTCATGTTTGCTAGGCAGGTACTCTTGCTGCTTAAGACACTCTGCCAGCCCTTTTTTGTGATGGGTTTTTTTGAGATAAGGTCTTGTGAACTATTTGCCAAGGCTGGCTTTGAACTGTGATCCTCCTGAATAGCTAGGATTACAGGTGTGAGCCACTGGTGCCTGGCTTCAGTTTCCACTTCTGTGCACAGGGCAGTTAGGATGAGGATGAAGGGAGATGAATTATGTGTTAATGGGAATATGCTTTAATCTCAGGCTTTGGCACATAGCATGTGCTCAGTAGATGTTAGAGATACCTCAGTGGGCCCAGTGCTGCCGGGCATGGTAGAAAATGCCTGTTAATATACTTCCAGCACTCCTGAAGGGGAAGTAGGAGGGATGTGAGTTTCTGGCCAGCCTGGATTACGTAAGATCCCGTCTCAAAAAAAAAAAAAAATGGTAGTTATAAGGCTGCCCTGGGGGCATCTGCCAGGCCTCAGCCTGATTGTCTTTCCATGAGAAATGGCTAACAAGTGGTGCCTCCACCTCTCATAGGATGGTCTGTGCCCATTGGCCAACAGATTGGGTGTTGGGTTTGAATCCCCACTCTGCTTCATCCTGCTGTGTGACCTTGGGTGACAGACTCAACCTTTCTGTGCCCCAGTTTTATCATTTATAAAATGAGCAACCTTGCCAGGCACTGGTGGCTCATGCCTATAATCCTGGCTACTCAGGAGGCAGAGATCAGGAGGATTTCAGTTAAGATGCCAGCCCAGACAAATAGTTCTCGAGACCCTATCTCTAAAAAACCCATCACAAAAAAGGGCTGGTAGAGTGGATCAAGTTACGGTAAGAGCACCTGCCTAAGAAGTGCAAGACCCTGAGCTCCAGCCCCAGTGCCTCCAAAAAAACAAGCCAAACAAACAAACAAAAACCAGACTACCTTAGCGCCCTGTACATCAGCAGGAACTGTATTTCTGACCATTTTGCTGATGAAAAACTGCAGGAGAGGATAGGATTTCTCAGGTTTTAGAGGAGAGGCTGCACTTTTATTTATTTATTTTTTTGCAGTGCTGGGGGTGGAACCCAGGACTTTGTGCATACTAGGCAAGCACTGTACCACTGAACTACACCCACACAGTCCATTTGTTTTGTATTTTTTCTTTTTGTTTGTGAGACAGAGTCATGATAACTTTGCCTGGGCTGGCATAAAACTCATGATCCTCCTGTCTCTGCCTCTGGAGTAGCTGGAATTACAGGTGTGCATCACCACGCCAGGATGAGGCTACTCTCTTAATCATGTTACAAGGCTCCAAACTTCCACCAGTGCTGGGCCTCTGCAGAACTTGACTCATAAATGTTTTTATTGGGTCCAGGCGCCAGTGGCTTGTGCCTGTAATCCTTGCTACTCAGGAGGAAGGGATCAGGAGGATCAAGGTTTGAAGCAAGCCTGGGAAAATAGTTTGAGAGACCCTATCTTGAAAAAACCCAACACACAAAAAAAGGGCTGGCAGAGTGTCTCAAGCAGTAGACTGCCTGCCTGGCAAACACGAGGCCCTGAGTTCAATCCCCAGTACTGCCAAAAACAACAAAAAAAGAAATGCTGTTACTAGGACTGTGCTGGTAATATGACTCAGTGGTAGAGCACTTGCCTAGCTTGCACAAGGTCCTGGGTTCCATCTTCAACACTGGCTGAAAAAAACAAAACAAAGGACAGTGTCTGTCAGAGTGAGGAAAAGCTGTGTGCCTTCGGGTTGAGTCTGTGACCTCTCTGAGCCTCATATGCAAAAATAGAAAGGTCCCAGCCTTGCCCACCATGGGCTGTGGAGAGTAGCGAGCCTTGAGCCCGCATGCAGCTCGTGAGGTGGGCCTGCAGGTTTAACAGCTGTGCCCCATCCCACAGGGCTGGGTATGGTCACTGGCGGCACAGGAAACGCAGGACCACCATGTGTGCTCTGGCTCCTGGGACAGCACTGTGAAGCTGTGGGACGTAGCGGCTGATGGACAGCAGTTTGGCGAGATGAAGTGTGAGGGGGCCTAGGCAGGGGCTTGGGTGGGTAGGGGCCCACCTGGCCACTGCCCCAGCCCTATGGTCCATGTGTCCCCAGGGGCAAGTCGGCCGTGCTGTGTCTCTCCTACTGTCCTGATGTCCTGGTGGCTGGCACCTATGACAAGAAGGTGACCCTCTACGACCCCAGAGGTGGGCTGGGGTCCTGGGGCCCAGGAGGGGTGAGGAGGCTGCCTGGAGTCTCTATGGTTGAGTTAGGAAGGAGACCCTCTGGCTACACTGCCTGGCTAGGGCAAATCACCCACCCACATGCTCACCTCTCCCCACCCCCAGTGGTCTGCGCCATGCAGGGGCCACCCAGGCAACTGGAATTGGGTGTACAAGAAGCCTGACAGCCTCCCAGGAGTTAAGTTAGAATTCTGGCTCCCCAACTTCTTAGCCATGTGGCCCTAGGTAACCTTGAACCTCAGTTTCCTTATCTGTATAATATGAATCATGGTCAGGGTGTAGCTCAATAGGACAGCGTGGGCTTAGCATGCAAGAGCCCTGGGTTCCATTCCAGCAGTGTGTACACACAAGCCAGATCATCTTAGTGCCATCACCCCCAAGGGTCAGTGGGAGAGGACATTAATGAGAATGTTGGGGGATTGTATAACTCAGTTTACATAAAATGCCTAGAAGGAGTACTGTCTGGTACTCAAGTCTTTTCTGTGGTTCCTTCCTTCCCCTCCTTCCCTCCCTCCCTCTCTCTGTTTTTATCTTTCTGGCAGTACTGGGGTTTGAACTCAAGACCTCTTGCTCTTGCTGGGCAGGCGCTATACCATTTGAGTCACACCCTCAGCTTTTGGTTGTAGATTTTTTTTTTTTTTTTTGTGGAACTGGGGTTGGAGGTCAGGGCTTCGTGCTTGCAAAGCAGGCATCTGCCACTTGAGCAACACCTCCAGTCTATTTTTGCTCTAGTTCTTTTGGAGATGGAGTCTTAGAACTATTTGTCTTGAATAGTTAGCTGGCCTTGATCCTCGATTCTCCTGATCTCTGCCTCCCAAGTAGCTTGGATTACAGGAGTGAGCCATAGGTGCCCAGCATACTTTCCTTGTTATTCAAATAGGATCTCACATTTTTGCCCAGGCCAGCCTTGGACCCAAGTCCTGTTTCCACCTCCTGGGTAGCTGGGATTACAGGTGTATACCACCGCTTGAAGCTTCTGTGGTTTCTTTATTGACTCACTCTTATTCTGAGGCTCTGAAGGGCTCTGCTGAATGCACTTTGTCCAGGCAGAGCTGGAACCGGGTTTGGATGGATAAGATCCTGAGTTCTGTAGTGAGAGATGCTGGTGGAGTTGGAGGAGGGAGATGACACGGGGCAGAGGACAAGACAAGAGGGACAGAGGTCTGGAGATCCTGAATCCAGTTAGGGCCGGAGAGAGAGAGGAGGGGAGAGAACTGTCGGCTGTTGGGTGGAGGGCTGAGCAGGCCGAAAGTTTTGCCGGGAGAGATGGTGGGTGGGATCTTCAGGAGGACCTAAAGGTCTCTATGAGGCGCTGATGCCCCCTCCTCCACAAACCATCACTCCCCCAGCTAGCCCGGCCTTGCTGAAGAACTGGCATCTGCACTCGGGTGCTGTGTTGACATTGCTGGCCGATGACAGGCACATCATCTCAGGCAGTGAGGATCGCACCTTCGTGGTGTTGGACCGCCGAGCCAACAACGTCCTGCAACGGCTGCAGGTAGGCGGCCATCCCCAGGGACCTAGAGTAATTGGGCTGCAGCCCGGCTTGCTCCACCTAAGTTGTTCTGCCCCATGTCCTCCCACAGCTGGACTCCTACCTGCTCTGCATGTCCTACCAGGGGCCCCAGCTCTGGGCCGGCGACAACCAGGGCCAGCTTTACGTCTTTGCCAACCGTGATGGCAGCTTCCAACTTGTCCGGGTGTGCCAGGGCTCCCGCCCCTGCCTGTCCCTGCCCCCCGTCTTCCTTCCTACTCCCAGGTCTCCTGGTGGTGGTAGAGGGCTGGCCTTTGGAGACCCTGGTCTGAGTGTCGTCTGTCCCCTCCTGCAGTCTTTCAACGTGGGCCACAGGTCTCAAATCACAGGGATCAGACACTCGCTGGGGGCCTTGTACACCACGTCCACTGACAAGACCATCCGGGTGAGGACATGGTCTGCCCTCACTCCACGTTGGCCCGGGCTCCGCCTCCTGACCCTGCCTCTGTTCACAGGTGCACGTGCCCACAGACCCGCCGAGGACCATTTTTACCCGAAGCCACCACAGTGTGCTCAATGGGGTAAGGTCCTGCCCCCGTGCCCTCCCAGTCTGCCACTTGAGCAGCACCTCCATTCCCTGACTCCCATCCCCACCCTCCCAGATCTGTGCGGAGGGCAACATGGTGGTGGCTGCCTCTGGGGACCTGTCACTGGAGGTCTGGAGGCTGCAAGCCTGAGCAGGAGGACACAGATGGAGATGATGGTGTGCACTGCCAGTTGCAGGCTGAGCCTTGGCCTCTGTCGTGGGGAACCTTCCCTCTGTTGGTGCTGCCTCTGTCTTGCCCCATAGGCCCAGGGCACGTGAAGTCCTGGGCGTGGCTGGGCGAGTCCCTGGGCTGGGCTCCATGCCTGTGCAGGTGACATTACAGTTCTGGCCCACCCAGGGGGCCTCCTCCTCACCATTGGGCCTTGATTTTGTTTTGTTGGGTTTTTTCTAGATAGGGTCTCACTGCGTAACCCAGGGTGACCTTGACTTGCTATCTCGCTGCCTCCACCTGGCATTACACACAAGTGGCTTGGGTCCTGGTTCAGTTATGATTTGGTTGCTCCTCTGCCTGATGGAATTCAAGGAGAAATAAATCTGATGTACTGTACAGTGCTTGGGCCTGGAGCGTGAGTTTTGTGTAGCCTCAAGGACTCCCCTGTGCCTGCTCAGGGCTCATGTGCCACAGGGTGTACGTGCGACTGAGAAGGAAAGATGTCATGCCAGGGCTGGGGAATGTGTGGTAACTGCTGCTGTGTGGTATGGGTGTATGGTGTATGTGTGCACGTGTGTGTGCTGAGGGCTGCAGGCACCTGTGTCTCTCTGTGAGAGACATGCGGGCCGTATCGCTGTGTGCTGTGAGGATTGTGACTCAAACTCCTCCTTGTGTGTCTGTAGGGAGGAATGGACATCAGTTCAGGCTACCCTATAGGTGTAGGAGAGGGAATGGGGACTCGGGCTCCTCTGTCCAGGGTCAGGGTGAATGTGTGTTGCTAAGACTGTGACCCTGAGGCGGGTGGGGAGGGAGGCTGGGCCAGGTGTGCAAGGCGCAGTGGCCCCCCATCTCAACCCAGCCAAGCTTTGGTGCAGAGCAATCATGTCATGTTTATTGAGCCCGTGGGTTGCCAGGGCAATGGTGTGGGATGATCATGGGCTCAGAGGATGGCACAGGGCTTCTTCTCCTTGAATGGGTTGGTGGCAGCCGGGATGCCCACAAGGAAGGGGTCACTCTTGGCCTGCTCTGTGCAGAACTGCAGCAGGTCAGTGGCTGCCTTGGACACCTGCAGACCAACCCATCAGCTAGGCCTGGGTATCCATCTCTTCCTCTCCCTCACCCAGCCATGTCCACCTCCCCACTCCCGCACCCACCCCAACCCTCACCTTCACGCGATCAATGCCTGCCTCCATCCGCAGCTGCTCCACTGCCCGGCGGGCCTGCCCGATGTCACTGCCCATGGCTACCTTGCTGGACATCTGGGAGAGGATAGGCAGGGTTATGAGCAAGCTCCAGGCCACCCAAGGACCCCTGTACTGCCCCCTATGTGCCCTGGGGACCTTGGGATGAGCTGGCTGCTCTGAGACATACCTCAGCTGAGACTCCTGAAGATGCCTGGCTGCCTGCTCCTTCTGTGGCTGCAGCCACCCTGCTCTGGCTCCTTCCCCCACTGGCCTGGCTTCTCTAACCCCTGCAGAGACTTTGAAGCCAGGACTCAGTGAAATGTCACCAGCAGCAACAGCAGCAGCTGCCACAGCAGAGGGGGTCCCTGCCCGGGGTGGCCCAGTGGCTGCCCTGGTGTCACGTGTCACCTGGGTTTCCCCAGGGGCTGAGCAGCTTGGCTGGGGAAGTGACTGTGACCCAGAAATTTCTCTGACCTGCTAGATCCTCTGCTAACTGTCCCCACCATGTCTTCCCTTGTGTGCCTCTGCTGCCATCACCATGCAACATGCATCTAGGCTCACACCCAACCCTGTGTGTCCTCCCCTCTGCACTGTCCATGCTGCCCAATCTTGATCCACTCACTTATGCTCATGGTTCCTGTCCCCATCCTGTCCCCCACTCTGCCCTGAGCTCCAGACCCCAGGACCCACCTCCTGCCTCTGTCTGTGCATCACTCCTCTCTCTCACCTCACTTGGCCAAGCAGGACCTTGGACCATGTTCCCCCAAGATCTTCTGCCCCCGAGGGGAGTTCACTGTTCCCAGTGGCTCAGACCCTTCATCCCTTTATCTCTGTACCCACATACTGAATCCTGTCCACTACCATCAGATCAGCCATCAAACAAGTTATCAATCTGGCCACTTCTCTCAGTGTTTATACCACCTAGCCCTCCATCTGGACCAGTGTGTCACCTGTGTCCCAATTGCTGGCTCCCATCTGTCCTGCCCGTGCCCTGGTTGTTCTGAAGGCAATGTTAAAAACTTAAGAGTGACAGCTAGGTGTAGTGGTGTACACCTTTTGTCCTAGTTACTCAGGAGGTTGGGGCAGGAGGATCACTTGGGTCCAGGAGTTCAAGACCAGCCTGAGCAACATGTGAGACACCACCCCCACCAGGTCAAAAAAACCCAAAACTCTGGGCTGCCAGAATAACTCAAGCATTAGAGCACCTGCCTATGAAGTGTGAGGCCCTGAGTTCAAACTGCCAAAAAGCAACAATCACCACCAAAAAACCCCCCAAGAGACCAAAAAACCAAGCTGGGCACAGGTGACTCATGCCTAGAATCCTAGCTACTCAACAGAGGGCAGAGATAAGGAGGATCTCAGTTTGAAGCCAGCCAGGAGAAATAGTTCACAAGACCAATCCTATCTCAAAAAAACCCATCACAAGAAAGGGCTGGCGGAGTGTCTCAAGGTGTAGGCCCTGAGTTCAAACTCCAGTACTGCCAAAAAGAAACAAAAACAAAATGGAGGTGATGATGAGAGAGGGGTGGTCAGGACAGTCCTCTCAGAGGGACATTTGAACTGAGGTCCAGGAGTTGGGGAAGGGGATGCTTAGGACAAAGGGAGCAGCAGGGATGTGGGCCCTTGGTCCGGAAAGAGCTTGGAGTATTCCGGAGAGAGAGAGAGAGACAAGGTCCATGCAGCTGGAGAGGCAAAAGCAAGGGCAACGTGGCAGGAGATGGAGGCAGGGAGGTTGGCAGTTGCCTTTGAAGGCCATGGTAAAGTCACTTGGTTGCATTTGGTGGAGGAAGCCATCACTGAAGGGTTCTTTTTTTTTACGGTGTCTGACTTATGCTTAAAGAGCTCTCTGGCCTCAGTTGAGAGATCCAGCATTGAGACCATGGATTTGGAACCTATTTTACACATAGAGGCTGCAAACATGCTAACGTAGATGGGTGTAGAGAGAGAAGGGGAGACATCAAACTTAACTCCCTTCTTTTTTTAGTTGTTGTGCGTGTATGTGTCTTTTGCAACAGTCTCACTATGTTGCCGAGGCTGGCTCAGAATGCCTTCCACCTCAGCCTGCAGGGTAGCAGGGACTATGAGCATGTACCAGTGTGCCTAGCATTTATTTTCATAGTTTTTTTGGTACTGGGGATGGAACCCAGGGCCTCACTACCAGTGAGCCACACCCCCAGCCAACTCCCCAGTTTTTAGTGTAGTTGGTGAGAGTGGTGCCATTTGCCAAGATGTGAGATGCAGAAGGGTCAGGGTTAGCTGGAGTGGGAGTTGGTGGGGCAATTTTGAGATCCACGTGAGGAAATCAGGATGTTCTGTTTCTCCAGTAAAGTAAAGTAGGCTCATTTCCAGCTCAGCCTTGGCACTGACTGTTCCCTCTTCTGGTGTGGGGGGAATAGCCTCCTTCCAGATCTTCACATATAGGATCTTTCTTGGTCTTCTGCCTTGGCTGAAATGTCACTCCCTTGCAACTTTCCCCAATAACCTGTCCCTTCAACCACGGCTACAAATTCTCCATTTACCACCCCCCTAGTCTAGATTGATCCTGTTGAAGTCCTCAATAGCACTCCACACTGTTAATTTCCTATCCTTCCAACCAGACTGCACTCCAGGAGGGCAGGGGCCACAGCTAAATCTCTGAGTAGCTCAGAGTTAGGTTTTGAAAATTTTAAGAGTGAAGGGGTTCCCCTCTAGACTCTGTGTGTAATAGGTACATAAACAAACTGCTTTTGCTGAAAACTACTGACCCCTAACTTGGGCCCACAAGTTAACTAAAATCAGAAGAAAAGCTTGGCATCCCTACCTCCCTTTTTTTTTTTGTGGTACTGGACCTTGAACTCAGGGCCTTCACCTTGAGCCACTCCATCAGCCCTATTTTTGTGAAGGGTTTTTCTAGATAGGTTTCTTGTGAGCCACTGATGCCCTCCCCTGCCTCCATTTTTGCATCTGTCTTCACTCTGAGTCATTCACCTTGCAACCCCAGGACAGGACTGACAACATATTTACAAGGAGTGATGGAGGAAACTGCCCCCAAGAAAGGGAAAAGCAGAACCTCCCAGGACGCAACCTGCCAGGCAACGATGACTTACTTATCCTGACCAGATTGCTCCCCTCAAGTGAGGGCAGCAAACCTCCCAAAACCAGTAGAGACACTGACCAACCAGGCCACTCCACACCATGACTGGGACAATGGAACCACACACACCTCTCACCCCTGTCCTAATTCTTTTCCTATTTAAGTCTAGAGTTCATGTCTATACCCTTAAGACAGCTGAAGTACGTACTTTGCCTGTTCCTGTGGCTGCCCTTGTGTGTAATAAACCTCTGTCCTTCACCATTTCTCCTCTTGTTATTTGGTGTGTTGGAGCAAGTGGGTGTGAAACCAGAATTCTGGACTCCAGGCCCAAACTCCTGGGATTCCACATGTCAAGTCCAGACAACCGCCCCATAGGCCAAATAAAGAGGCATGGTAAAGGGCGGAGATTTATTGCCTGGCTCAGGACATGCAATGGGAAGAGGTAAAGTAAGCGTTTAGCACATGTTCACCCTCTTCAGGGTAGACACGTAGTACAGGATTAAGTAGACAAAGAACCCCCAGGGCAGGGGACAAAAGGTATGTATAGCTAAACACTCCCCAGTCATAAGTGTGGTCTGGTTGACCATTATCTCAGTATAAGAGTTCCGAAGATGTTACCGTTGTCATAACTTGAGGACGGTAATCTGGTTCCATGAGATGTTACTCCTGCTCCAGGGTGCAGCCTCCTCATCATAAATAATTGTCCTCATTTGGAGGAGTGGTCTGACTTGCAAAGCTCCACTGTTCCTTAAGGGAAGTTCAGTCCCTAGTCATAAAGGTGTTATCAATCATTCCTGTCCTTCCTTGATTTCTAGATGGCTGCAGGAGAGAATGGCTCAGAGCAAAGGACAACAGGTACAAAATGGAGGCAGAGATGCCAAGCCTTTCTCCTGTTTTTAGTTGATTCATGAGCCCAAGTAAGGAGTCAGTGGTTTTCAGCAAAAGCAAAGCAACTTTTACAGCTGGACCTGACATGTGGGAGCCGTGGGGTTTGGGGCCGGGGCCTAAAACTCCGGTTTCACGTGCACAGTTATAGGAGGATGCATGAGACACAGACCTCACCAAGGGTCTCAGTCCTGCTGAGGGGAAAAAAGGTGTCTGCCCCAGATCCCAGAGAAGACCCCAGCTCAAAGTGGAAAGCTTTCCCAGAGGAGGTGACAGTAACAAGGGAAGTAGAACTGGGGCTTATGCTGTCTGTGGACACGACGGGGGCCGCGAAACGTAATCACCATTCCATTTGATGAGAGCGCGTCAGGGGGGTGCCAATCACTCAGCCTGGTGATCTAAATCCTGTTAAGCAGCCATGTCTTACAAACAGTCCTCTCGCTCCTAGGGGACAAGAGCGAATGAGCAGGCGCCACCCACAGCAGTGGTTCTTCCCTAAGAGTCATTAGATTAGGACTTTTTATTTACGCGAAGCTGAGAACACACTCAAAGGAATAGCGGCTCCTCGGGGCTTCCGTATTACGAAACACAATGCGCAAAGATGGCTGCGCCCTGGGCTGCAGGAGCTACAAAGGGCCACGTGACAGAGCAACTTCCGGTTCCACCGCAGGCTTTTATCCTAGCTCTACTTCCTGCGCTTTCGCAGACACGCGCGTCGTAGGCCCGGGCCTGGGGCGGCTCTGACCTGAAGGCCCAGCTGCATGGAGGGTCCGCCGGAGGGGAAGGTGCCCGCGGCGGCGGTGGCCGCCGTGCTGAAGCACAGCTCGGCGTTGCCGCCCGAGAGCGCCCAGGTCCGGGGCTACGACTTTAACCGCGGCGTGGATTACCGCGCACTCCTGGAGGCCTTCGGCACTACCGGCTTCCAAGCAACCAATTTCGGCCGTGCGGTGCAGCAAGTGAATGCCATGGTGAGGCCCTGGGCGGGATTTCCGGGGCGAGGGAGGCGGGTCATTTAGAGGGAGGCCCAATAGCTGGAGAGAGGCGGGGCCTGCCTTGAGCGGGAGTTTCTCTGCTGGGAAGGGGGCTTGACATTCATTCACTCCAGTAGATAAATGCTAGTGTCAGGAGTGGGTGGGGCGTGATTCTAAGTGGGGGGCAAGTTACCGGGAAGTTTAAGAGTTCTTCAGGGGGCGGAGCATGGGGCAAGACAGCATGGGGCGGCAATTGGAGGAGGAGCCTAAGGTAGGTTGGGTTTGAACTTGGACTTGATTTTCTCTGCGGGGAAGGGTGCTGGACCTGAAAAAGGAGATGCTTCCTGATTCCTGAAAGGGAGCAAGTCCTGCTCTGAGATCAGGACTGGTCCTTGGTCTCTGGTAGAAATGGTCCTGTATTCCTGAGTGGACAGGGCAGGAGGTGGAATATGACTGTGGAACCCACCTGGGGTCTTTGACTGGGGTCTGAGGCCAGAGCTAACTTGACTTGGCCCTTCATACCCAGATCGAGAAGAAGCTGGAGCCCCTGGCGCAGGACGAAGACCAGCACGCAGACCTAACTCAGAGCCGCCGCCCGCTCACTGGCTGCACCATTTTTCTGGGCTATACATCCAACCTCATCAGTTCAGGCCTGCGAGAGACCATTCGCTACCTGGTGCAGCACAACATGGTGGGGCCCCCACGAGGTGTGGCCATGGTTTTTTTGGCCCAATAGGCAATAACATTTAAGTGAGATGAGACAGAGGCCAGTTTTAAGTAGAGGGACAGAGTGAGTTTTGTTTTGCGGTGGTACTTCCCATTTAGGTTCATGCATGAGGGTAGTGTTAGGAGGCCTGTCTAGAACGAGGGCCAACTTGCTGCCTGTTGCTGCAGGTGGACGTATTGGTGACTACGGCTGGCGGTGTGGAGGAGGATCTCATCAAGTGCCTGGCACCCACATACCTGGGCGAGTTTAGCCTCAGGGGGAAGGAGCTCCGGGAGAACGGGATCAACAGGTGGGGGTCCTGAGTGGTGTTGGACAGGAGAGCTGACCTGAGGGTCCTAGGGACTGATGCCCAAGTTTCTTGCCCCCAGGATTGGGAACCTGCTGGTGCCCAATGACAATTACTGCAAGTTTGAGGACTGGCTGATGCCCATTCTGGATCAGATGGTGTTGGAGCAGAACACAGAGGTGGGGCTGGAGCGGCGTAAGAGGGGAACCAATGTGGGGGAGTCCAGGGAAGTGTGGATGAAAGTTGATGTTGCCCCACCTCTAGGGTGTGAAGTGGACACCTTCCAAGATGATTGCCCGGCTTGGCAAGGAGATCAACCACCCGGAGTCGGTGTATTACTGGGCTCAGAAGGTGAGGAGGCCAGACTCAGACAGGACTAGAGTTCCCAGGCTCTGGCGTGTGCTGCTGACTTTATTGTCACAGCCACACGAGGAGGCATTATTAGACTCAGCACCTTCACTCTTAAGACGAGGAACTGCCAACACAGACCAGTGGCTAGGTAATTGGTCTGAAGGCACCAGCTTTCGAATGAGGGGTCCTGATATCCTGGCTATGCTCCTGGACCCTCTGCTTAGTAACTCCCCTGGGGCCTAGCCCAGGGTACTATGCCCTCAGAGACTGGAGTTCAGATTCTAAAAAGTAACAAGGTGCCTGAGAGCCAGGTACTTTCCTCAGTATTGTGCTGGTTTTCTCACTCTGCCTCATCTGGGAGGCAGGTGGTGGTTATCCTTATTTCACAGAGACCCCAGAGAAAGCGAGCCGCTGTTCCTAGGCAGGGAGGAGGCAAGGAAGGGATGCCACTGCCACTGGGGCCAGGGTACTCCCTCCAGGCCCTGGGTTGCAACTGTTGCCCTGCCTCTTTCTCAGAACCACATCCCTGTGCTGAGCCCTGCACTCACCGATGGCTCGCTGGGTGACATGATCTTCTTCCATTCCTACAAGAACCCAGGACTGGTCTTGGACATTGTTGAAGGTGAGGCATTGACTCCAGGGAGTGGAGGAAGTGGGCCAGCTGAGCCCAAGGCCTGAGCCCAGCCCTCTTCCTCCTCCTCCCAGACCTGAGGCTCATCAACACACAGGCCATTTTTGCCAAGCGCTCTGGGATGATCATCCTGGGTGGAGGCGTGGTCAAACACCACATCGCCAATGCCAACCTCATGGTGAGTGGTCATCCTGGCAGGGTACACTCATACCCACTGTGCAGAGATGTGGTTTGCAAGGCCTGGGCCACAGTTCCTGTCCCCTCGGACTGACTGATGCTCTAGTGGGGGAAACAAACAGCAAAGGGGTGACATGCCTGTCAGATGGTATAAATGCTAAGGAGGGAAATAAGGCTAGGCAGGCAGGTGGCACATGCCTGTGGTCCCAGCTATTTGGGAGGCTGAGGCAGGAGAATGGCTTGAGACCAGGAACTCAGGCAACATAAGACCCTGTCTCTCCCCACTTCCCCCCAAAAAAGGGCGGGATTATAGGAAGAAACAGGGTTGGGAAATAGGACCTGTGAGCAGAGGCTTCTGGGAGGAATTTTGCCTCCGAAGTGCCATGTAGTTCCCAGCAGCATTGGGGGACAGCTGGGGAACAGCCAGTGCTAAGGCTCAAGGTGACTGAGGTAGTCAGAACAGCCAGGAGGCAGAGGTGGAGTGGGGGTGTCACTGCTGAGCATGCTGGGTTTGTGGCCAAGGGGAGACTTTTTTGGTGGTACTGGGGTTTGAGCTCAGGGCCTTGTGTTTACTAGGCAGGTGCTCTACCACTTGAGCCACTCTGCCAGCCCTTTTCTCTAGATGGGATTTCCCAAACTATTTGCCTGGGCTTGCTTTCAACTGCAATATTCCTGACCTCTGCCCTGCGTAGCTAGGATGTGCCCTCTGGTGGCCATGGGGGAAACAGATGGGGAGGGCAGTGTGTGAGCAGGCCCAGGACTAGGGTGGTACTGGTGGAGGGGGTAGAGGTTGGGTTTGGAGGTCTTCTGGAGGTAGTGGGTGGCAGCTGCTGCTGAGCAGGGGGATGGCTGTGACACAGGTTGGATATCCTTTATCCAACATCCTTGTTATGTTGGCCCAGCTGGTCTTGAACTCCTGGGTTGAAGGATCCTCATTAGTAGCTGGGACAACAGGCCTGTCCCGCTGCAGTTGGCCTGAATATCTCTCATCAGAAATGCTTAGGACCAGAATCTTTTGGTTTTTGGAATGTTTGCATATACACAGTGAGACAGCTTGGGGAAGGGACCCAAATCTAAACATGAAATTCAGTTATGTCTCATACATATTTCATACAGCTCTGAAGGTGATTTCATACAGAATTTTTAGCATGCCTGTGGTTTGGATGTAACCCATCCCGGGGTCACGTGTAATTTTCCAATGTGTCATCCGGCCAGTGCTCAGAGTCTTAGCAAACCATCACCCTGTGACTCCAGGCCCTTTCCTGGAGTAAGGGGCCCTCAAAGGCTTCCTTCTTTGGGTACACTTCTCATGCTCCTTAGCTATGATGTCCTGCCTGTGTCTGTCTCTTGTAATTGGCTAACCATGCCTGCCCTGTCTCTCCCTACAGCGGAATGGGGCTGACTATGCTGTCTACATCAACACAGCACAGGAGTTTGATGGCTCTGATTCAGGTGCACGGCCAGATGAGGCTGTCTCTTGGGGCAAGATCCGGATGGATGCACAGCCAGTCAAGGTAGAGGCCAGCAGGGTGGGGGACAGGGTCTCTTGGGCTGTGACCATGGGCCCAGGGCTCACCTAGGTCCTTCTGCAGGTCTATGCTGATGCCTCCCTGGTCTTCCCCCTGCTCGTGGCTGAAACCTTTGCCAAGAAGGCAGACGCCTTTATACCTGAGAAGAACGATGACTGAGAAGAAAGAACAAGGCCTGTGGAGGCTTGCCCGCCCCTGTATTTATTAATCGATGCAGCAACCCTTGGTCATCACCATCTCTGGAATAAATGGGCTGCTGGTCCTAAGTCCTTCTTGGTCCTGGGGTTGGGTGGCTTCAGCCTGCTCCACCCTCTGCCTCGTAGGTCTCTTCCCGCCAACAATGGATGCTGCCCCCCATGGCTGTTAGCAGGCAGGGCTCTGTGGGGTGGTAAGCCAGTGACTGTACCACACCAGAACCCACAGGCAGGGCCAGTGCCAGGGCACCCTGGGGAGTGAGGAACAGTTGTCAGAGGCTTGGCTATCCTGGAGATCCAGCCTGGAGCCCTCAGTTGCCTCTTCCCTGACCTTCAACTATTTACCTCTTTTTCTTTGGGCAGTGCTTGGGATGGATCCCAGGGCACTGCCCATGCTAAACAAGCACTCTTCCACTAAGCCACACCCCAGTCTAGTCACCATCCTTCTAGGTTTAGGCCGATGCCCTGGGAGTGTCTCACACACCTCCAGTGCCATGATCCTCAGACCCTCAGTGCTGCCCCTAGGCTGTGCCAACTCACCTCTGCTTCCTCGGTATCTCCCTGCTCTGGGCATGTCTTGCTCCCAGCTTACCTGCTTCCCATTGTCTGGGCCATACCCAGTCCACTTGGCAGGCCAGTGGTGCCATTTCCTGTGTTACCTCCCCCCCCAGTCATGGCATAGTTGACGGCTCCTCCAGTCACCTATGGTTCATCTGTACCTTGAAAATGTCTCGTGTGCCCTCTCTCTGAGGCAAATTCTATTCTAGTGGGTTTCAGAAGAACTAGGCAAGCACTGTCACCTTAAGTTCCCAGAGAGTGGGCTCTCCTCCATTCCTTTAGGGGGGTCTTAATTCCATTAGCCAGGCTCCAGCACTGACGCCTCCTTCTTGACAGCCCTGATCTGCCCCTAGCTTGACTTCACTGCCAGGCTGGAACACAACAGGGCTCAGGTTCCCTGAAGGACTACAGTCTCATCTCACTCTGGATCAAGGTACTGGCATCAGCTCCTCTCACCCAGGGATCTGTCCAGTGGCTCAGCTCTAATCTGGATCCTGCTGCTGTTGCCTTTGCAAAGTCCTGTGTGCTGAGTGATGTGAGCGTGTGCCATGCCTCTGTGCCTTAGTATGTGTTGTTCTTTGCCTGCAACGCCCTTCCTGCTTTGTCTTTATTCTTCAAGATCCCAGCCCAAACGCCCACTATCACTCCCCTTCTCAGGCCTGTGGGTGACAGGTAAGGACAGAGCTGGTATCCTGGTAGGAGTGGGGTGGGGGGAAGCTCACCTCCACCAGGTCCCAGAAGTACACCTTCCCATCCTCCGAGCAGCTGACCACGTGTGTGTCCCGCTCACTCAGGCAGCAATCCAGCTTGTACTCCTTGTTTTTATGGCCTGTGTACCTGGAGGAGGGCAGGATCAGAGGGGCTTCAGCCCCACACTAGGGAGGGAGAGAGGAAAAGCCTCAGGAACACAGACTCACTCGCCCAGCAGCTCCCCAGTGTCTTTGTCTAGCAGTCGCAAGGTGGAGTCCAGGCTGGACACGAGGGTGCACTGCCCATCCCGGCTGAAGCAGGTGCAGGTGATGGGGACTGGGGTGGGAGAGGACGCAAGGCAGGTGAGATCAGAGTGCTCCTGGCTGCCCCCACCTTCCCTGCCTGTCCCCCAGCCTGGACCACACTCACTGCCCACGTAGTCAGAGAAGAGCTGCCCCATCCTCAGGTCGTAGCGCCTCACGCGGCCGTCCACAGAACTGCAAGGGAGGGGGAGCCCGCTGAGGCACTAGGGTGGCCAGGACCTCCCTGGCAGTCTCGATGGGTGGCGGGTGGGCCTGCTCTTCCCGTGCACTGGTGGAATTTGGAAGTACTGGCGTTGCAACTCAGGCCAAGGGGCCAACCCAGTCCCACTCTGCCTGTCTTCTGAGATCTACCATGCCCTTTCAAGTCTCTGGAGCCCTCTGGAGCCCCCTTCCCCACGTTCTCTGGCAACAACACACTTGGCTCTAGTATCTATGGGTTCCGCATCCACAGATTCAACTGTGAGTCAAAAAAAATTTTTTTTCTTACGGTACTGGGGTTTGAACCCAGGGCCTACACCTTGAGCCACTCCATCAGCCCCCTTTTTTGTGATTTTTTTTTCGAGATAGCGTCTCAAACTATTTGCCCAGGCTGGCTTCAAATCTCGATCCTCCTGATCTCTGCCTCTTGAGAGTTAGGATTACAGGCATGAGCCACCAGCACCTGGCTGGGTCAAAAATATTTACACAGGAAAAAAAGAAAAAAAAAATTTAAACAGGGAACTGGGGTGTAGCTTAGTGGTGGAGCGTTTACTTAGCATGTATGAGGCCTTGGGTTCCATTCCTAGCACAGCACAAAACAAAAAATGAACAAAGAAATTGCATCTGACTGAATATAGGCAGACATTTTCCGCTGTCAAACCCCCTAAGCATAGCAACTATAACACACTACATTAAGGTGCTTTAGTGCAAATCATCTAGAGAGGATTTTAAAGATTGTGGGAGACTGGGGTGTGGCTGCAGATGCCTGTAATTCCAATGTTTGGGAGGTGGAAGCAGGAGGCCAGCCTGGGCTACACAGGGAGGGTCTCTCAAAACACCAAGTGTTGGGGGTGTAGCTCAGTGGTAGAGCACTGCCTAGCATGCACAAGCATCCCCAGTGTGGAGAATGTGTGCACGTTAACTGCAAACACTATTTTGGTGTTTTTTTTAGTGTGACTGGGGTTTGCATTTGCAGAGCAAGAGCTCTACCACTTGAGCCACTTTACTGTTGTTATTTTGGAGAAAGGCAGTGTCTTGAACTATTTGCCTGGGCTGGTCTCAAAGTGAGATCCTTCCAGTCTCAGCCTCCCAAGTTGCTAAAAATTATAGGCCTGAGCCACTGGTGCCTGGCCACTATACTATCATACAGAAGGGAATTGAGCATCCTTGGATTCTGGTATCCCTGGGGGTTCCTGAAACCAATCCCCTGCCCACACAAAGGACGGTGCTCTCAGAATCCCACCCCTTCCCCAACCTCCAGCACCATGTGGAAGGCAGGAGCCTTTGGCCACCCCTGGCGTCCTCCCATCAGGAAGCTCTTTTCAAAGTACAGCTGCTGAGTGCCAATCCTTCCCCTGAAGAAACATCCTCTGCTACACTAGAAAATTCTTCTAGAGGTGCTTCAGACTGTGCCTTCCTCCTGGTTATCCACCTCCTGGTTGTGCCTCAGCGCCTTTCCAGCTGGACCTCCACCATCCTGCCCCTCAAACTCCTGTACTTGCTCTTTCTCCAACTCTCCTGGAGGTGGCGCCACTTCAACTTTTGACCTTTGCAGGGCGTTCCCTAGCCCCCACCAACCTGCATGGCTTCTGTAACAATCTAAAGCATCCCATGGTAACTTCTTACACAATTTCACCATTTCCCTTCATCCTTATCAGTGCTCAGACTGAAAGAGGCCCACAGAGATAGGCAAGCTCAATGTTAGCATAGGAAAGGAACCTGCAGAGGGGGTCTCCAGCAGACTCTGGAGGCCACAGTCACTTACAGACTGAGGCTCTTGGTTGTCCAAGTGTGGCCTGAGGATTTGGGGAGCTGCAGTATCTGAAACAGGCAGTTGCTCACAGAAGTACTTAGATGGCTCATTAAGTAAGTAGTGTCCTCTAGGCCAGGCTTGGTATAGAGGCCTGGGGCAAGCCAGATACAGTTTCTGCCATCACCTCCGTGAGTAGGTAATATCTGAACTTGGATTTGAATGAAGGCTGAGATGTGCTTTTTTTTTTTTTTTTTTTTTGCGGCACTGGGGTTTGAACTCAGGGCCTCACATTTGATAGTCAGATACTTTGTGTTTTTTTTTTTTTTTTGGAGACAGGATGTCATTTGTCTGGGCTGGCTTTGAACTGTGATCCTCCTGATCTCTGCCTCCTGAGTAGCTAGGATTATAGATGTGAGCCACTGGTGCCTGGCCAGGACCTTGTTTTGGACTAAGCTCCTGCACTGGGCTCTAAGAGACTAGACTAAAAAATCAAAGTGGAGTCATCTTTGCTAACGCTCCACATCACCACACTGATATTAAGCTGTTATCTGACCTGCTGTAAAATCAGGAGGTAACAGCCAAATTTTCCAAACAGGCCAGCTTCAATTACCATGGTCAGAAAATTTTTTCTTGGGCTGGGTGCGTGGCTCAAGTGGTAGAGCACCTGGCTGACAAGTGCAAGGGCCTGAGTTCAAACGCCAGCACTGTACCCTCTGCCCGACACCCCAAATTCCTACAAGAAAGTCCTCTCTGCCTTAATCCCTACCTGAAAAGGGTAATCTGATTGCAACAATCACTTCTTTTTAACAATTCAAATTGGTGCTATGGGTAGGTTTTAGGATTGTATCTGATTTTCTCTGTACCACTTACATTATTACATTATTATGAAATGGGCAGTGAACTATCACAATTATCTGTGTACTTACATACATAAAGCATATGTAATACATACATTCAGATTGCTTCACTTGGTAAGATTTTAGGTCACAGGATGGCCCAAATGCTTTTGACCTCCATAACACCTACACAGTTGACAATGACAGTAAACCCAGTGAGTGAACAGTAGCTACTGTATAGACTTCTATCACAAGCAGGGTTTACAGCAATTTAAAAAACAATTTATTGTCTTGCTTTTAAGTTTCATATCCATAACCAATGAATGCCCTGTAACGCTAACTAAATGTTTGGGAGTAAGTCCTTCTTTCTTTTGGCCCCTTCTAGAATGTTCTGCCTCCCCTCTGTGCCGATTCTGAGCCCACAGATAATCCAAATGTCACCATCCATGAGATCCTCAAAATTCCAATTTTAGCATTAGAATTTTCATTGAAGTACAATATTATCATACCTTTTTTGTTTTCTGTATTCTTTTTTTGGCAGTGCTGGGGTAGCTTACAAGCTACTTGTCAACTTTTAGTTAATGTCTTTCCCTCCTTCTGCCCATTTTTTCTTTGCACTTGCAAGGTAGCACTCTATTGCCTGAGCCGCCCATCCAGTCCATTTTGCTCTGATTATTCTGGACTTGGGTGGGGGGGGTATCATGAACTATTTGCCCAGGCTGGCCTTAAACTGCAACCCTCCAGATCTCAGCCTCTCAAGTAGCTGTGGGCTCCCCCTACATTTTTTATTAGTGTATATTAATTGTACAATGTGGGAGGTTTAACTGTGCTACTTCCATGCATGCTTTTTTTTTTTTTTTTGGTGATACTGGGGTTTGAACTCAGGGCCCACACTTTGAGCTACTTCACCAGCCCTTTTTGTGCCTTCTGAGTAGCTAGGATTATAGGCATAAGCCACCAGTGCCCAGCACCTCTGTACTACTTTATGCCCATCCTTCCTCTCCGCTTCAATCAGTTTTCTTTCTCTTTTTTGGTGGTATTGGGGCTTGAAATCAGGGTCTCACACTTGCTAAGCAGGCACTCTATCACTTCAGCCACTTTGCCAGCTCAGTTTTTTTTGTATTGTTTTTTTTGAGATAGAGTCTCTTGAACTATTAGCTAGGATTATAGGTGTCAGTCACTGGTGCCCAGCAGTCATTGTTCTATTATTACTTTGCCTGTCCATCAGGAAATAACCCTGCTTTTTTTTTTCCCCTATTTTGGTACTAGGAATCAAACTCAAAGTCTCTGCAAGGTTTCTACCCTTGAGCTACTCCTTTAGCACTAGAGAGTAACTTTGAGCAGGTAAATGGGTGGAAATGGAGAACATCATGTTAAGTGAAGTAAGTCAGGTTCAAAAAGACAAAGGTTGCATGTTTTCTCACATATGTGGAAGACAGATTCAAATATAAATACAGGCATTATCATATTTGTGTACACACACATACAAAACATGCTTCCAGAAGTGTTTTGTTAGAGACCAAGGGAGGAGGGAAAGAAGAGAATGACAGAGTGAATTATATTGAAATACACATCTGTGCAGGAACAGGACAACACAAATACATTTAAAGCTGTTGAGCAATATGGGGTAGTAGGGATAGAATAAGAAAGGGTAATGGAGGGGGCTAGACTGATCAAAGTACAATGTATTTACAAGTAAAATACCAAGGCAAAACCCCGCTGAACAGGAATAAAAAACAGATCATGTCAAAGAGCGGCGGGGGATAAAGAGGGTAAAAGGTGAGTATCACCAATGTATTTTCTACACATGTATGAATATGGAAAACTGAAACCTGTCAAGCCATTTTAAGAAGGGGGAAGGGGAAGAGGGTGAATAATGGAGGGGATGAACCAAACCAGGCTACACTGTAAGCATATAGGGAAATGTCATAATTAGGTACTAAAAAAAGTGGTTTTTTTTTTTTTTTTGGGTTCTGGGGTTTGAACTCAGGGCCTACACCTTGAGCCACCCCACCAGCCCTTGTTTGTGATTTTTTTTTTTTTTTTTCGAGACAGGGTCTCGAGAACTATTTGTCCAGGCTGCCTTTGAACCTCAAGTCTCCTGATCTCTGCCTCCTGAGTAGCTAGGAATCACTGGTGCCCAACTTTTTTTTTTTTTTTTAAAGAAAAAGAAAGGAACTTTGAAATGATCAATCTGCTTTTTTGGTCTTCATTTGTGCTTTCTTTAGTCCTCCCGAGCCTACAAAGTTAATCTCTTGTGTTCAACTCACTAGAATAATTATACTATTCTTCAGAATAAAGTATTACCCAATTCTAGAAGAGAAAATAAAGCCAATTAAGACCTGGGGTGCAGCAGCACAGCAACTAAGAGATAGCATAGATAAATGGGACCTCATAAAGCTAAAAAGCTTCTGTTCATCAAAAGAAATGGTCTCTAAACTGAAGAGAACACCCACAGAGTGGGAGAAAATATTTGCTAGCTACACATCAGACAAAGGACGATAACCAGAATATATAGGGAACTTAAAAAACTAAATTCTCCCAAAACTAATGAACCAATAAAGAAATGGGCAAGTGAACTAAACAGAACTTTCTCAAAAGAAGAAATTCAAATGGCCAAAAAACACATGAAAAAATGCTCACCATCTCTAGCAATAAAGGAAATGCAAATTAAAACCACACTAAGATTCCACCTCACCCCTGTTAGAATAGCCATCATTAGCAACACCTGTTGTTGGCGAGGATGGGGGAAAAAGGAACCCTCTTACACTGTTGGTGGGAATGTAAACTAGTACAACTACTCTGGAAAAAAATCTGGAGGCTACTTAAAAAGCTAGACATTGATCTACCATTTGATCCAGCAATACCACTCTTGGGGATGTACCCAAAAGACTGTGACACAGGTTACTCCAGAGGCACCTGCACACCCATGTTTATTGTGGCACTATTCACAATAGCTAAGTTATGGAAACAGCCAAGATGCCCCACTACTGACAAATGGATTAAGAAAATGTGGTATCTATACACAATGAAAATTTTATGCAGCCATGAAGAAGAATGAAATGTTATCATTCGCTGGTAAATGGATGGAATTGGAGAACATCATTCTGAGTGAGGTTAGCCTGGCCCAAAAGACCAAAAATCGCATGTTCTCCCTCATATGTGGACATTAGATCAAGGGCAAACACAACAAGGGGATTGAACTTTGATCACATGATAAAATCGAGAGCACACAAGGGAGGGGTGAGGATAGGTAAGACACCTAAAAAATTAGCATTTGTTGTCCTTAACGCAGAGAAACTAAAGCAGATACCTTAAAAGCAACTGAGGCCAATAGGAAAAGGGGACCAGGAACTAGAGAAAAGGTGAGATCAAAAAGAATTAACCTAGAATGTAACACACAGGCACAGGAAATTAATGTGAGTCAACTCCCTGTATAGCTATCCTTATCTCAACCAGCAAAAACCCTTGTTCCTTCCTATTATGGCTTATACTCTCTCTACAACAAAATTAGAAATAAGGGCAAAATAGTTTCTGCTGGGTATCGAGGGGGTGGGGGGGAGGGGGAGGGAGCGGAGTGGGTGGTAAGGGAGGGGGTGGGGGCAGGGGGGAGAAATGACCCAAGCCTTGTATGCACATATGAATAATAATTAAAAAAAAAAAAAGACCTGGGGTGGTGGTGTACCTCACTGGTAGAGTGCCTGCCTAGCACAGGTTCCACCTCAGCTCTGAAAAAAAATTTTTTTTTTGTGATACTGGAGTTTGAACTCAGGACTGTTCACTTGCTATGTAGGTGCTCTACCACTTAAGCCAAATATTGAGCCCTTTTTACTTCAGCTGTTTTTCAAATATGGTCTCTCATTTTTTACTGGGCAGACCTGAACCTAGATCTTACTATTTATGCATATATATGATGACATCTTTTATTGGTTGAGATGGGAGTCTCAAGAATTTTTTGCCTGGGCTGGCCTCAAACTTCATTCCAATCTCTATCTCCCAAGTAGCTAGGATTACAGGCCTGATCCACCTTGCCCACACTAAATTGTAATTTTTTTTGTCTTTTGACAGAGGAAACAGGGCTAGCTTCATGTGGTGGGAATGGCACTCCCTCTGGTTGTGATAACACTCAAGACTGCATGTTTGCTTTTTAAAAAACTGTTTGTTTCCTGTAACTAGAACAACATCCTGTACCGTGGGATTTTCCCCCTACTTCTCTGTGCTCTTCACTGCTGCATGCCTACTGAGTAAGAAAGAATCTGCAGGCAGTAAGTGTTCAAGCACACTTTGAGTAAGTACCAGAAGGTCAGTCCAGCCAGAAGAGCAAGTACAAGGGTCCTGAGATCCTGGGGAGCACGTTAAAAAAATTGAGCCAAAGAATGAACAAAAGCTGAGGGGTCATCAAGGACCAGACTGGGAAATGCCTTATGTATGTTGCTAAGGGGAGATTTTTTTCCCTTTGTGCTGGGAGTTGACACAACCCAGGACAGCAAATGTTAATCTAAGTGCACAGGCAGCTCTGATCTCTAATACCGAGGTCTTGGGTCCACTCACCCTGCCAGGATCTCATGGTCTGACACCTTAACGCTGGATATGCCATCCCTGGCCTCATCCAGCTTCTGCACTGGCTCAGGCTTCCTGGAGCGGCAGTCCCAGCAGCGGATACTGGAATCGATAGAACCTATGAGGACAGCATAGGTGAGGTCAGGTTTGGGGCATTGGGCAGCACCCTGGTTCCTCCTACTCAGGTCCCAGACTCACCAGATAGGATGACTGTGGCCTCTTCATTAAACTGGACCGTGTTCACCTTCTGAGAAACAGAAATTGCTACTCAGAGCAGCTGGGCTTTGAAGGATCGGGGTCCCAGTGCTTTAAAGCAAGGACACCTGGTTGGGGGGGTTGTGAGGGTGAAAGGTTCCGAGGATAGGGTTGTGACTGGCTGGCCATGGAGGAGGGACACCTGAGGAAGGACATAATGGGAGGATGTCCCCGGCACCACCTACATGCTAATGCGGGTCCCCTCCGCCATGCACGCTCCAAGGAGGGTCTCCAAGCTTGCACTTACCCCCGCGTGGCCCCGGAATTTGCGCACGACCTGCCCAGATGCGACATCCCAAAGCACCACAGCCTTGTCCCCGCCGCCAGAGCAGAGATTGCTGTTGTCAAAAGAGCTGGAGAGCAGGAAAGAAAAGGTCAACGTCGACTTCCGATTCCAGCCTCTGCGCTCGTATCCCGGCCCAGCCCCCGGCTCACCCGGCCGCGTCCAGCACCTCGTAGCCGTGGCCGCTGTACGTCCGCAGCAGCGTCCCCCGCAGTGGGTTCCACAGCTTCAGGGTCTTGTCGCTGCCGCACGTCAGGCAGTAATTGCCATCAACTGAGGGACACCAGGTGGGGGTTTACTAGGCTGCCGGCCTCAGGAGGCCGGAAGACCCGGAATGATCAAGGCGCTCACCATTAAATCGCACGGCTCGCACAGCCCCTTGACCGCAGTCCAGAGTCTTCAACCGTTTCTGCGGCAGCTCCGGGGGCCGCGGTTTTGGTTCAGGAAAAGCCATAGCTGCAGGCCCCCTTCTTCACCGACTTTTATCAATGAACCGCTCTGAAACAGGCTTCCGAGTACCGGGGGTGTAACCTTATTATTGTCCCCCAGGAACTACTTCCGGTTTCTCATTTCCGGGTTCAAAATTTCAGCATTTTACTGATAGTTGGGGCATACGCAAGGCCGCTTTCAGTTTTTCCCCGTTTTGTATCTTCAAGGAACATTTTTTTTGCCTCTTCTCATTCTCTATTCTCTGGCGAAGGACAGCTCTGGCTTCCGCCCTTGGGAACAGAAGCGCGGGAGTTGCGGGTGTTGCTCTATTAGCTACTCTCCACTCCTACGCCGGAAGCTGCCCCCCTCGCAGCGGAAGAGGCGTGACCTAGTCTTCCACTCGCTATGTCCGCCAACAACATGTCGGATCCACGGAGGCCCAACAAAGTGCTAAGGTGAGAACCTCAGCGTCATGGCAACAGGTTTCAGGTTGTGGGTGTGGGTCGGGGCCGAGGGAAACGTCTGTCCATCATGCGGCAAGACTCGATCACCTGTGACTCTTGAGCCTTTCGCAGGTACAAGCCCCCACCTAGCGAGTGTAACCCGGCTTTGGACGACCCCACGCCAGACTATATGAACCTGCTGGGCATGATCTTCAGCATGTGCGGCCTTATGCTTAAGGTGGGCGTGGTTGAATTTCCCGGGGGTAGCTCCGCCTGAGAATGAGGCGTCTGGCGGGTTCGGAATGAAACGGGTCGTCCGGCTGGTGCCGGGGGGCGGGGCCTGAGGTTGGTTGGGGGGCGGGATTGGGATGACGCTGGATGTGGAAAGCCCCAGCGTTAGAGGAAGTGGGGGTCGAGGTTAGGACGCGTACATGGTGGGCACTTGATATATTATGGTCCCTGTGCGTGCTTGTGGTTCCACCTGTCTGGATCGCTTTTAAGTTGAGGAACTGTGAGTTCCGCAAGGCACCACTTCCAGTGGGCTCCTTTGGGAAACTTGCCGTGCAAATTTGGCCACATTAGCCTGGAACTTCTCTTTCCAGACTTTGAAGCAACTTAGACTGGGCTCGTAGGGAGAGGGCAGGGTCCTCAGCATGTGGGGATGTCTAATGCCAATCTTCTTGAGCCTGAGGGGACATAGTGGGGTCAGAGATGCAGGATTTATGAAGGGGTGGGACTGAGGGGCTCCTAGGGGAGGGGGGTAAGGTCCGAAGTGCACGGAGTAGACTTAAGTGGATAGGAAGTGGCGCCTGGGTATGTAGCTCATTTGGTGTCCTTGGTGTGCCTTTCACGAATCTGACCGGCCCAGTCGTCTTTCCCCAGCTGAAGTGGTGTGCTTGGGTCGCTGTCTACTGCTCCTTCATCAGCTTTGCCAACTCCCGGAGCTCGGAGGACACCAAACAGATGATGAGTAGCTTCATGTGAGGCTTGGCCTTAAGAGGGAGGGGCTCCTGAATAAGGGAAGGGGGTCACCAGGCCTATCATCCAGAACTGACACCTCTTTCCTGTCTCAGGCTGTCCATTTCTGCTGTGGTGATGTCCTACCTGCAGAATCCTCAGCCCATGACACCCCCCTGGTGATGTCAGCCTAGAGGAGTCGCACCCTGGCCTCCCCGCTGTCCACCTTCTCCCTGGCCTAGCCTTTGGCTGCCTCCACCTCTTGCCCTCAGCTGATGTTCTGGACTTCCCTGAGTGAGGTGGTCTCAGGGCCTCCAGCTGGGTGGAGGGAACCTGGCCTTTTCCCTACTGGGTCATAGAGGGGAAAATACGAGGCCTACCCTTCTTGCCTCCCGTATCCGATTGCTGCTGGGGGAGACACTGTCCATGTTCCTAGGTGTATTCACTTTTCTGTTGAAACCAGTTGATAATAAAGTTTTTCACTCTGGCTGCTCTGTGTGACCTCTCTTTTCTGTTTGTGGGGGGTGCTCTGCCCAGTGGGAAAACAACTCCAGCTCCTCCACTCAGGCCTGCGTGGGACCCTCGTCTGGGCCTTCTGGTGGTTCACTTCCTTATTTCACAAGCCCTGAAGTCAGGGGCCAGGGACAAGACAGTGACCTTTGTCCTCTGGAATCTTGGGCTTCCATTTTCTTTTTTACTTTATTTTTTTGGGGATTCTAGGGATGGAACCTAGGGCCTGTGCACGCTAGGTAGTCACTCTACCACGGAGCTACGTCCCCAGCCCTAGTGTTTTCTTATTAGAGAAACAATGTCTGCGAACTGGACAGAGAGGAACTGGGAAGACCATGAAAGACTGGCTCCGGGTCTTCCACCACCTATCAGGGCCTCCGTCCCAACCAGGCTGGATGCCTGTCGTCCCTGGCAGTTTGTTCACCCAACGTCCCAATCCCCACGAGACAGAACAGGACCCTCCTCAGCTCCATTCGGCTTCTAGGGTCCTCTCAAGGACCCCAGCCCTGAATGTCGATGGGACATCCTAGGATCGCACGCGTACGTTCCGCCTGGGACGAAGGCACTCCAAAGCCCCATGGCGAAATACTAAAGGCGCCTCTGGCCAACACAACGCCCGGAGGGTGGGATACCCGCAGCCCTGTTCCCTGCTCCCTGCGCTGCCTGCCGTACGCAGGCTACAGCCAGTCAGGTGACGTGTGGGCCCCGCCCCCGCCGGCGCTGATTGGCCAGGCCGGGCTCTAGGGGCGGAGCGTTCGCCCGGATTTACCAGGGCCCGGGAGCCCCACAGAGGCAGTGGCGGCGGCGGAACCATGGGCTCCCGGCCGCTGTCTCGGGGGCTTGTCGCCAGCGGGTGCCGGAGCGCGGCGGGGCCCTGGGTACGCTCCCGCGCTCTGCGGTCGCCGTTCCCTTGTGTGGTCTTCCTGTTTTCGTTGTTGCTGGCAGCCCCCGGCGCGTGGGCCGCGGGTTACGAGGTAAGCGGGGCCCGCGGGCGGAAATGTATGGGATGGGGAGTGGAGCCCGGAGTACGGTCCCGAGGTGTGGTGGATGTGGTCTGTAGGTGCCTAGTGAGTGGCTGCTGATAGGACAGCGAGGGTCCGAGTGCTTACTTGGTGGCATTGAGAGATCTGACAGCGGGAGTCCGAAAACGGGGCTGCACATGATCTCACCCTCTCACCCTGTGCTCCCGGGTCGCTGGCTTGGACTTTGCAAGCGCTTAGTTGTGTGATTGATTGGAGGAGTGAGGGGTGAGCAGCTGGTTGCAAGTGGGACTCTGAATCAAAATCTCTGTCATGCAGTGCACACTGCGTGTTGCGGTTGTCACTGCCCCGAATGGCTACTTGGGGAACCGTGCATCCCACAGGGATCCGCCTTGCTCCTCTGGGAAGCCTGCCGTGCACATCTGGCCACACTGGCCTGGGAGCGCTCCTCTTCTCTTTCCAGGCTTGAGTGTGCAGGCAGGTCTGCTGCTTATCACCCAAAGCCAGCCTGCCTGGAGTTCCAGCTTGACCTCTCCACTTTGTGGCGCAAAAAACCTCCCGGCTCTTACTTTACCCTCAGTGCCCCAGGTCTGGGAGCTACAGGTCATATCGCTCCTCTGCACGGTGTCTGCCTGCTCTTCGCAAATGCTTAAGGAACATCAGCTACTGCTAGACTTGTTACCCCAGAGCGTGGATGAGAGCACCTTTGGGTTGTGCAGAGTGGGAGTTGTGTCTGTGAGCACAACTATGTGAGTGTCCTTTCTGGGAGGGCCTGGCCTCCTTTGCACATAGTTGGGGTCAGGCTATAGGCTCTCTCTCTTGAGTCACTCAATCCAAGATAAAGAGTTAGGTTTCCTCCACCCCCCGTCCCGCCTCCTAGCCTGCCTTTTAACGCCAGGGTTACTGACAGGGTATGTGTGTGTGTGCTTGGGGTCCCTGTGCAGACATGTCCCAAAGTGCAGCCAGACATGCTCAATGTGCACCTGGTGGCCCACACCCATGATGACGTGGGCTGGCTCAAGACGGTGGACCAGTACTATTACGGCAGTGAGTAGAGGGCGGGGCTTGTGACTCCCATGGACCCTCTATTCTTTCTGGGACCTGAACATTAGGGTGGGGGCAATGGGCAGGTTGGGCTCTTGTGTCAAAGAATATCCCTCAACTCCACTAACCCCTGACTGCCTGACCCTCATTTCCAACAGCCCGTAATGACATCCAGCATGCGGGTGTGCAGTATATCTTAGACTCGGTCGTCTCCGCCCTATTGGCGGAGCCCAGCAGACGCTTCACCTATGTGGAGATGGCCTTCTTTTCCCGTTGGTGGCGCCAACAGACGAATGCAACACAGGAAGTCGTGTGGGACTTGGTGCGCCAGGGTGAGCATGCCCCAAGGAAGTAAAAAGAGGAAGCCCAGCCCAGCTTCTCTGTCTGCAAATTTGGTTTCTGAGATTTTATCATGCCATGCACGTACCGTGCATGCCTATGGTTCCACCTGTCCGGAATTTCTCTTTATTTGGAGAACTGTGCATCTCACAGGGACCTGCCGCCAGTGGTTCCTCTGGGAAGCCTGCCATGCACATCTGGCCACACTGAACTAGGAGCGCTACCTCTTCCCTTTCCAGCCTTGAGTTATGCATGCAGGTCTGCTCATCCCCAAATTCTCACTCTGACGTCACTTCTAACATCCTACCCCCATCCCCTTTGCACAGGACGCCTGGAGTTTGCCAACGGTGGCTGGGTGATGAATGATGAGGGGGCTACCCACTATGGTGCCACAGTGGACCAGATGACACTTGGCCTGCGCTTCCTGGAGGACACATTTGGCAACGACGGGCGTCCCCGTGTGGCCTGGCACATTGACCCCTTTGGCCACTCTCGGGAACAGGCCTCGCTATTTGCCCAGGTGCTACCCTGACCTCTCTGGAACTGACTCCTTAACTCACACTGATTCCTCCCTCGGCCACTCAAAGTCAGCCTTCCCCTGTAATCTGTGGACCAGAACCTGAGACGCGTTCCTTTTGCACTCCGATCTAAACTTTGCCAAGCCCCAGCTCCAGACTGCCTCGCCCCTCTTCAGCTGACTCCGCCCCCTTCCCCATACCAGGCCCTCATGGAGCTCATGGATCCTGGTTCCTCCCCAAGTCCAGTGGCAGGTGGACACTCACCTTGCTTTAAAACCAACGTCATTACCTGTGCCCTGACCCATCCGTGCTCAGGCTGCAGAAAAGGGAACGCCTCTCAACTTTGACGGAAGTGGCAAGGTGGAGATGGGGTCTTGGCTTTGGACCCATCACCTCCCTGCTGCCCTGTGGTGTCTTATGACTCTTCTCAAGCTTGGAATTAAACTGGAGTCTCACCATGCCAGATGGTCCACGCCTATAACCCCAATACTCGGGAGGCTGAGGCAGGAGGATGGTGAATTTGATAGTGAAACTGTCTCAAAAACTAATATGAGTGTAGGGCTTTGATCACACCTATAACCCCAGCTACTGGGGAGGCAGAAATCTGGAGGATTGTGCTTTGAGGCCAGGCTGGGCAAAATAATTAGTGAGACCCCCCCATCAACAAGTAAGCTGGTGTGATGGTACATAACTGTAATCTCAGCCATTTGGGAGGCGTAGTTAGGAGAATTGGCGTCTGAGGCTGGGCCATGCAAAAAGTTGAAGACACTGTCTGAAAAATAACTGAAGGAAAAAAGGGCTGGAGGCATGGCTGAAGTAGTAGAGTACCTGCCTAGCAAGAGTGAGGCCCTGAGTTTAAAAACTCAGTGCTGCTCCCCCCCACCCTGAAAACAACAAAAATAACTCCCTAGTACTGCCAAAATTTTCATATCACTTTCTTCCTTCCTGGGATCTTATCTGTCTTTCCCAAGCCGAGCAGAGTTTGGTGGTGACAAGGCTGGGAGCGTATTCACCCTGTCCCCTCTTTCCTTGTTCCCAGATGGGCTTTGATGGCTTCTTCATTGGGCGGCTAGATTATCAAGATAAGAACGTACGGAAGAAGAAGCAGGAGATGGAGCAAGTGTGGAGGGGCAGCGCCAGCCTGAAGCCACCCACTGCTGACCTCTTCACTGGTTAGTGGGTGGAGTGGGGGCAGACCAACCACACAGGGCCCCATACTTTTAAAATCGTCTTTTTTTTGGTGGTACACTGGGGTTTGAACTCAGAGCCTCATGACTGCTAGGCACTCTACCACTTGAGCCACTCTGCCAGTCCTTAATTCTAAATAGTTTGAATGGGGCTCTACATTTTCCTTTTGCACTGGGTTCCCAAATTCTACAGCCCATCCTGGGTGTGGCATAGCAGACTTGGATCCCAGGGCAGGTCTGGGGTGCTGGGTCGTTCCTGAGCCTGGTGTGGCCTACAGGTGTGCTCCCCAACAATTACAACCCACCAAAGGATCTGTGCTGGGACATGCTGTGTGTGGACAAGCCTGTGGTGGAGGACCCCCAAAGCCCCGAGTACAATGCCCAGAAGCTGGTCAATTACTTTCTGAAGCTGGCTGCTGCCCAGGTAACTGATATCCAGAACTTGGGGGACTGTTTATTCCATGCTGTGAGCCCTTTTTATGGTCACAGCCCCAATTATTATTATTATTATTATTATTGGTGGTGGTGGCGGTACTGGTGCTTGAACTCAGGGCCTCATGCTTTGCAAGCACTCTACTACTTGAGCCATGCCCCAGTTCTTTTGCTTTTAGTTTATTTTTCAGGTAAAATCTCACACTTTTGTCTAAACTGGCCTCGGGCCATGATCGTCCTACCTCTGCCTCCTGAGTAGCTGGGGTTACAGGTGTGCACCACCACGCCCAGCTTCCACATATATTCTTATACCAGCTAGACACAGGTGGTCCAGGATCCTCTGGCCTGAGGATTCCCCTTTGGTCTGCAGGGCAAGTATTACCGCACTAACCACACCATGATGACCATGGGCTCTGACTTCCAATATGAAAATGCCAACTTGTGGTTCAAGAACCTGGACAAACTCATCCAGCTGGTCAACGCGCAGGTCAGTGTGCCCACCCTTTGGTACCTGTGTGCATGTGTATAGTCACCTTGCTATCACTGTAACGGATACCTGAGAGAATCAAGGTATAAAGAGAGAAGGGTCGCTTTAGTTCACAGTTTTGGAGGTTCTAGTCCATGATTGGTGGGACCCATTGGTTTTGGGCAGCACATTGTGGTGAGAGTGAGTAGCAGAGCAAAACCACCCATTGAAAGGAACCAGGAACTGAAAGAGAGGAAGAGGAAGTGGCTGGGGTTCCCTGGGATGGCACTCCCCCAACAATCAAAAGACCTTTCAATGGGCCTCACCTCTTAAAGGTCCTGCCACCTCCCAGTAGCACCAAGCTGGGGACAAAGCCTGTAACACATGGGCTGTGGGGGATGTTTCAGGTCCAAATTTCGGCAGTGTGTATGCTTGTTTTCCTGTAGCTTGGGTCATGTGCACAGCTGTGGCTGTTGTCTTACTTTTATGTGGTTACCCTAACAAATTACCACAATCTTAGCTCTTTGAAACAACAGAAATACATGGTCTTAAGAGTTCAGTAGTTCAGAACCTGTGAGTCCCACACAGGTGTCATTGGGCAGGAATCAAGGTGTTGGCAGGGCCTAGGAGAGAATACATTTCCTCGCTTTTTCCAGCTTTAGGGGCTGCCCACATTCCTTGCCTCATGGCTCCATCTTCCATCTCCAAAGCCAGCCATATAGCATCTTTCTAACACTGTTTCCGTACTCGCATCATTCTTTTTTTTTTTTGGTGATACTGGGGTTTGAACGCAGGACCTCACACTTGCTATGCAGGCGTTCTACCACTTGAGCCACTCTGCACTTTTTTGTGTTGAGTATTTTTGAGATGAAACTCTTGAGAACTATTTGCCCAGGCTGGCTTCAAACTGCCATCCTCCTGATTTAAGCCTCCTGAATAGCTAGGATTACAGGTGTGAGCTACTAGCACTCATTTACATCTTTCTTACTTCTTCTCTTTTCCAGGTTTTCTTCTTCTTTTCCTCTTCCTTCTTTTTCTTCCTCTACCTTCCCGTTCCTTTTCTTCCTCCTTCTCTGCCTCTCCTCCCCCTCCCCTTCTCTTTCTGTAGTGCTGGGGGCAGAACCCAGGGCCTTGCTCATGCTAGGCAAGTGCTCTACTGCTGAGCCCCACCTCCCAGTTTCCTCCTCCAGTTTTTTTTTTTTTTTTGGTACTGGGTCTTGAACTCAGGGCCTTCACCTTGAGCCACTACACCAGCCCTATTTTTGTAAGGGTTTTTCGAGATAGGGTCTCGAAAACTATTTGCCCTAGCTGGCCTTGAACTGCGATCCTCCTGATCTCTGCCTCCTGAGTACCTCCTCCAGTTTTAAAGACCCTTCTAAGTATGCTGGGCTTCCCAGATAATTCAGGGTAAACTCTCTGTTAAGGACAACCGATTAGCAACATTAATTCCATCTGCAACTTTAATTCTTTTTCTGTGTCACCTAACCTAGACGTCTCTCCTCCTCTCAATCCTGTCTCTGCACCTGTGTAGTCACCACATTGTCTCCAGTCGCTCCCTGCACTGCTGTTTCATCAAAATAGCAACTAAGAACCATTACGGAGGGCTTTCCAGAAGACATTTCCGAGTTCTCCCTGTACTCCTAGTCCTCAGAGAGCCTTCTACATCCTGACTATGTCCTCCTGCTAGTGCCACGACCTTGAGTTGCCATGAGATCACATACTTTTTTTTTTTTTTTTTTGAGACAGTATCTTACTTTGTAGCTCAGGCTGGCCTTGAACTCACTTTGTGACTCACACTGAATTTTTTAATATTTTTTTTTAGTAGCACTGGGGTTTGAACTCAGGGTCTCAGGCTTGCTAGGCAGGCACTCTTACCACTTGAGCCACTCCACCATCCGGATATCACATACTTTTGATGCCAAATGCTCCTTTGCCATCTTCATTTTACAGCCTCTGGTTCAAATTCTAACCTTGCCACTTACTGCTCTGTGACTTTCAGAAATGTTCTTAAGCACTCAGTGCCTTAGTTTTCCCATCTTCAAAATGGGTATAATGTTGATCCCCACTTCAAACGGCTATTAATGAGAAGTTAATGAATTCATTTGCGTCGATCAGTAGACCAGTGCCTGGCACGCAATGTATATTGGTGGCCTATTATAATTGCTATAATTATCTTGGTTTTTGAGACAGGGCTCACTGTGTAGCCCAGTCTGGTCTTGAACTCGTAATCCTTTTGCCTCAGCCTCCCAAGGGCTGGAATTATGATTGTTGTTGTTGGTTTTGGTTCTGGGGATGGAACCCAGGGTCCTGCACATGCTAGGCAAGCGCTCTACCACTGAGCCACACACCTCCCAGCCCTATTTGTTATTAGTCTTTTTTCTTTTTTTTTTAGTACTGGGATTTGAACTCAGGGCCCTGTGATACCTAGGCAGGCACTCTAACACTTGAGCCACATGCCCAGCCCATTTTGCTGTATGTTTTGAATGGGGTCTTGAATTTATATGCATAGGTGGGATGACAGGTGTGCACTGCTATGCTCAACTTTTATTGATTGTGATGGGGTCTCTTGAACTTTTTGCCTGGGCTGGACGTGAACTGAGATCCTTCTGATCTCTGCCTCCCAAGTAGCTAAGATTACAGTCATGAGACATTGCACTTGGCTTGCTTATTATTCTTTCTGGCTGAAAACCTCCTTCTCCTCTAGCTGGTGAATGATCTTGGCGGCAGCCCCTTGTGACTTTGACTTAGAGACCATCCCTTCTTCTGGGCTGGTGAAGTGGCTCAAGTGGTAGAGCACCTCCCAGCAAGTGTGAGGCCCTGAGTTCAAACCCCAGTACTGGCAGAGAGAGAGAGAGAGAGAGAGAGAGACAGAGACAGAGAGAGAGAGACTTGAGACCCTTCTTCTCATCCTGGAGCAGAGATCCTGAAATTGTAGGATTGTCAAGATTTTTGTTGTTGTTGTTGTTTTGACACAGGGACTCAGTAGATAGCTCAGGCTGGCCTTAAACTGTCAGTTCTTCTGCCTCAACCTCCCAAGTGCTGGGATTACAGGCATGTACCACCACATCTAGAAAGAATATTAAATAAGATAATGAGTGCTTTAAAAATGGGGAAAACTACCCCCCCCCCGCATCTGTACTGTACCTGTACAGACTTTTTTCTTGTCATTATTCCTTAAACAATACTATATATAACAATTATTTACATAGCATTTATATTGCATATTGCATTAGGTATTATAAGTCATCTAGACTCGATGTAAAGTCTGCTTAGTAGAGGATGTGTGTAGGTTATATGCAAATATTATGTAAATTTTAAAAAAGTGAACTCCCTCCCTTCTTTTTGGCAGTACTGGTGTTTGAACTCAGGGCCTCATTCTTGCTAGGCAGGTGCTCTACCACCTGAGCCCACACCACCAGCCCTGAACATCCCTTTAAAAAAAATATTTCAAGCCAGGTGCCGGTGGCTCACGCCTATAATCCTAGCTACTCAGGAGGGAGAGATCAGGAGGATCGAGGTTCAAAGCCAGCCCAGGCAAATAGTTCATGAGACCCTATCTGTTAGGAGAACGCCGCACACCGCACACAAAGGAGGCTCACGAGAGGTATCTCATGTCCGAAAGTTTAATAAGCAGGCTGGCTGGCCGAGAAGAAAAAGTGGCGCAGCAGCTTTTCTTGGTGGGTCTGGCCTTAAGTAGCATTTGGGAGAAAGCAAGGGCTAGGGACCAGCAAAGAGAGGTGGCAGGAGATAAGGGACAGTGGGGCTTTGTTCTGCAAGGGATGAGACCAGTTGCTGAAGCAAGGTCTAGGGGCAGGCAAAGGAAGGTGGCGGGAGATAAGAGACAGTGGGCTTTGTTCTGCAAGGGATGAAACCAGCTGCAGCTCAGGCTGCAGAATGGTGGCAAGGGGCAGTTCTTATCACTATCTCGAAAAAAACCCTTCACAAAAAAGGGCTGGTGGAATGGCTCAAGATGTAGGCCCTGATTTCAAACCCCAGTACTGCAAAAAAATTTTTTGTTTTTCATTTTTTTGGTGGTGCTGGGGTTTGAACGCAGGGCCTTATGCTTGCTAGGCAGGCACTCTACTGCTTGGTGTACATCTCCAGCCTGTAAGTTTTGTTTTGTTTTTGTATCACTATGTAGCCCCAAGCTGACTTTGAACTTTTCAGCCACTTGCTTCAACCTCCCAAATGCTGGGATTATAGGCAAGAACTACCACACCTGGTTTTTGTTTTGTTTTGAAGACTGATTCTGGCCTTTTTTGTGGGTGTGTGTGGTGCTTGGGACTGGACCCATGGTCTCAGACATGCGAGGCAAACCCTGTGCCACTGAGACACACTCCTAACCTTATGCAATTTTATAGACTTGAGCACCTCAGGATTTGGTAACCTGGGGAGGGGTTCTGAAGCCAATCCTTTGAGGACACTGAGGGATGACTGTATGTCTGTAGATGTGTGTACACACTTAAAGGAAGTCCCATGCACATCCCTCCACACACTGGTGAACACCGGGGACACATCAGAAGCACAACAGACATCCTTTTCCTCATGGAGATAACCTTGTTTTTGCATCTTCCTCAGTTAAAAGTGAGCCTCCAGGCTAGAAGTGGTGGTGCACGCCTGTAATTCAAGTATTCAGGAGGCAGAAGTAGGAGGGTCACTATTGCAACCAGGCAAAAGCTCAAGTCCCTGTATGAAAAATAAAGTAACCAGGCGCCATTGGCTCCCACCTGTGAGCCTAGCTACTCAGGAGGCAGAGATCAGGAGGATCGTGGTTTGAAGCTAGCCAGGGCAAATCTATTGCAAAAAAGGAGTGGTGGAGTGGCTCAAGGTATAGGTCCTGATCAAACCCCAGTACAGGAAAAAAAAAAAAAAGACAGAAAAAGAAACTAAAGAAGAAATGGCTGGGGTATGGCTCAAGTGTAAGGCCCTGAGTTCAAGCCCCAGAACTGCCAAAACAACACCACCAACAAAACCAGTGATTATAAAATCATGTCACTGATGTAGCTCAGCAACAGAGCATG